AAAAACTCGCTGCCGTTCTGTCCTGTTGGCTGGCAGCAGCACAGCGTTGTCTTCTTATGGATGTAGGCGACTTCACCTTCACATGAGCTTTGTGTTTTGACAGCATCTTGTGTGTTTTGATGCGCCCTTGAGTGTGATGTGAATTTGAATGTGATCTGTACAAAGACTCGCCTGTCAGGGAGAGAAAGATGCAGACTGACACAGAGATGATTTAAGTCTACCATTCCCTTTCAAGTCAGCTCCTGAATCACGCACACACACACACACACACACACACAGAGCGTGATCATTGCATCGACACAGTTTACACCCGTGTAGCCACAGAGCTGCTCTGCTGCTGTTCCTCACCTTCAGAAACCGGTTCATATGTTACAGGTCATATGTTACGGTTCATATGTTACAGGTCATATGTTACAGGTCATATGTTACAGGTCATATGTTACGGTTCATATGTTACGGTTCATATGTTACAGGTCATATGTTACAGGTCATATGTTACGGTTCATATGTTACAGGTCATATGTTACGGTTCATATGTTACAGGTCATATGTTACAGGTCATATGTTACGGTTCATATGTTACGGTTCATATGTTACAGGTCATATGTTACAGTTCATATGTTACGGTTCATATGTTACGGTTCATATGTTACGGTTCATATGTTACGGGTCATATGTTACAGGTCATATGTTACGGTTCATATGTTACAGGTCATATGTTACAGTTCATATGTTACGGTTCATATGTTACAGGTCACATGTTACAGTTCATATGTTACGGTTCATATGTTACAGGTCATATGTTACAGTTCATATGTTACAGTTCATATGTTACAGGTCATATGTTACGGTTCATATGTTACAGGTCACATGTTACAGTTCACATGTTACGGTTCATATGTTACAGGTCATATGTTACAGTTCATATGTTACGGTTCATATGTTACAGGTCACATGTTACAGGTCATATATTACGGTTCATATGTTACAGGTCACATGTTACAGGTCATATATTACAGTTCACATGTTACGGTTCATATGTTACAGGTCATATGTTACAGTTCATATGTTACGGTTCATATGTTACAGGTCACATGTTACAGGTCATATATTACAGGTCATATGTTACAGTTCATATGTTACTGGTCATATGTTACAGGTCATATGTTACGGTTCATATGTTACGGTTCATATGTTACAGGTCATATGTTACAGGTCATATGTTACGGTTCATATGTTACGGTTCATATGTTACAGGTCATATGTTACGGTTCATATGTTACAGGTCATATGTTACGGTTCATATGTTACAGGTCATATGTTACAGGTCATATGTTACAGGTCATATGTTACGGTTCATATGTTACAGTTCATATGTTACAGTTCATATGTTACGGTGCATATGTTACAGGTCATATGTTACAGTTCATATGTTACAGGTCATATGTTACGGTTCATATGTTACAGTTCATATGTTACAGGTCATATGTTACGGTTCATATGTTACAGTTCATATGTTACGGTTCATATGTTACAGTTCATATGTTACAGGTCATATGTTACAGGTCATATGTTACAGTTCATATGTTACAGTTCATATGTTACAGTATATCTAAAATGAACATTCTACATATAACATATGTTAGCATCACTGCCACTGAGCTAGCCTGTGTCAAACGTTTAATAGATGTTTTATAATAATATAAAGTGTCCTGACACAGAACATTACACCAGTGCAGGCTTCTTTAACACAACTCGCTAACTGACGCACACCAACACACTCACAGGCAGCCTCCCTCCTCTGAGTTATTGTCATTTAAGCCTTTAATGCTGGGAGTCACCCGCTGTGTGGGAATTCAAAGGAGAAACAGTCCATATCGACTGGTTTGTGCGAGGGGCCTGTTCTCTGTGCTCCATGGATCTCCATAGGTCACAGGATAGATTTTTCTTTTAGGTTTGGCGGCTCGGTGTGGGTGCACGAGCACAAAAGGCTCAAGAAAGCTTAAAGTTTTTGCTATTTCGTCTTTTCTGTCTTCTTTCCTTTAGTGATAGAGGTCCATTGATTGGACGCGACGACAGAGAAGCTACAATATCTGCTGCTAAACGCCTTTAAAGCTGTTTTTATAGACCCGTCCTAACCTGACATGAACTTTATAATTTCATTAGTAACATGTGAGCGAACAGTGCTGTGAAGTCTTTGGTTCTTCTTCTTATTGTGGTCATTTGACAAGTTTTAATGTAAGACAGAAATATGACTTTTACAGTGGCTTTGTTCCTCGGCTGTTCTCCAGGTTCTTTACATCCTGGCATCATGTGCTGAGTGTTTTTAGCTCCTTTCGCCTACTTAACGTCTCAGGCATGTGATTTCTCCCTTCAGCAGATCAGGTAGTAATCAGACCCGACTGCGGTGACACTGAACTCAGCTTACGTCACATTTAAACACGGGTCAGGTAGGTTGGTATAGGTACTGTGTTCCCCTAATAAATGAAAAAGCATTTTGTATTTACTCCGGTTCTCTTTGACAGATATTTGTTGTTCTGGAACATGTGACTGCAACAAATATCACAAAAACATAAGAAATCAGGAAGTGGGCAAATACTTTGTCCCACCAAAGTAAAAGCACAGTCAGTTTATCATTCAGGAACAGCTCAGCTCTTTATGCATACATGCTATAACAATATAAATCTCACACACACACACACAGCACCCGCTGGTTAGTCAAGGTCACAGTTTTGTGACGCGTCCTCTGCATCATGTTGGACGTCTGCCACGGTGTCTCATCAAACCGTTAATCTGATAAATTAAAACGGACAGTGAAGCATTTTACAAATCTGCGCCTGATTGCAACGTGCATGAAAGACAGAATATGTAATACAGAGATACTGGCAGGGCCAATTATGATAATTAAATAGCATTTTGTATGAACAGTAATCGAGCTGACTTTGACCATAACCAGCCATCCTCAAATCCACTCGCTGGCACCAGACGCTCATAAAAACACTCTGTGGTCCAACTCATACGTTTCTTAACACACTATAAGAAACGTTTAATGTTTTAATAAACAGTGTTTGTGATTATTGTCACTGATAATCACAGGAACCTAAATATTCTGGTACTAAGGTTTTACAGACAACAATACCTCAAATGTTAGCATATATGCTAGTTTTCTATATAAGGCTGTTGCACGCATGTATAGAGTAAGTAAATGTTCATAACTAAAGTTGGCTTCAGCCCAAAGCCACAGCCGGCCTTTTGAACCATAAACCGAGTCTTTCCTTCCCAGTGCAGCTGATTTCTGCTGCCTGGTTCAACGATTCGCCGTATCGGCTCCACGGCTGCTGCTGTAGATGAGTCTGTATAGAGGGACTGTCTGGGTGGTTCTGCCCTGCTGCTTTCAGAGGACATCTGTGCATGCTATCAGTACGTCTGCCAGCTGAAGCGTTATCCCAAAGCCACGTGTGGATGTTGTTACTGGTAACTGAAGGATTTATAACTGGATCTGCTGAAATAAGCGTAATTAAGTCTGCTTTTCTTCCTTGTGCACATTAAATCGTTCTTCAGTCTCCTGCTCTCTGATTCCTCTCTCTGGGTTTCATTAATACTGAACCCGTATCTCTGATCGCTCTTTCCACTCACAGCGTTTACACATACTGTCATTTTCTTTTTTTCGCTGTGCTGTTAACCAGATGAACACATATTTGATTATGGCTCAGACGATCACCTTGCCCCGAGCTGTTTGCGAGGTGTCATGGGCAGCCACTGACGCTAAACGAGGTGGACAGAAATCTCTTTAGGGAGAAGGGTAGAGCAAAATAGCCGGGCACATCATAGCATAGGTTTTGTAATGAGACATTACAGCTCATGTGCTCGTGAAATCGCAGCAGAGCTAACGCTGCGTGCAGCAGAGAAAATGCAAACGAGCTTTGTTGGTAGAAAAGGTGAAAACCTCTCCGCTGACTCAAACTTCAGCAGTAAATATTTTGTCCAATAGATTCTTTGTTTTCAGTTCTTGCTTGATAAGAAGGACAGTCGTGGCTCTGGCTGCATGCCTGCTTTATAATAACCAGACGTATGAGAGTCGTTGCAGGGCTGCTTGTTTCTCAGCTGCACTGCGGTGTGCTGACACGTGCTGGCAACACAGCGCACAAACTGAACAAACTGTAGTGATTGAATAACTGCTTGTAGTTCTCATCCAACTGGCTCTGTTTCCACGTTGTGTCATTTCTGCCTCCTGCTGGTTTCCACCTGCTTTGAAGGATGTTCTCGGGGATTTGACTTCCTCTGGTGAGCGTACCTGTTTCCTAAACAAGCTGCAAGGAAACAGTAATGTTGTACCCGATCGTTATACCAACTGTTAACTAACTAGCTCACACAGGAGAAGCGCTTTCTAAGAAAAACTGCTAAAAATAATAATAATGGGCTCGACAGGGTTATTTCTGACAGCATGAAGACGCTGAACGGCGTCTTTTTATGATGCATCGCCGGCACCACACACTGATAAAAACACTGTTTCTGAATGTTGTTTCCCTGTGAACCTGGGTGCTCCAAGGTGAGAGAGGTACAGTTTGTCAGCAGCCAGCAGAGATTACAGTGCACGTCTTCGTTCACATCCAGTCGTCCCGTATAACTGGATCTGACGTTGCTCCATCTGCCTGTGCTGTGGTGATGTTCTGTCGTTCAGCTGCTGTGCAGCCACGTTTCCTTTAGATACGTTTTCAAGTAAACAACAAAACAACAGTTTCACACTGCACACACACCACCAGGAACAGAGGCTACTGTCAGCCTGAAGCCCTTTATTCTGTGTTGCACCTCAGACTGTGCAGCAGCGCAGCAGTTAAACCTGGACGTGTGCTGTTGTTGTGTCTGTAAATAAACCTGAAGGTTTGGCTCATCATCATATCTGCTCCATGCTTATGTACTGATTGGATGTCCTGTCTGCCTGCACTCACTGCACACCCACAGAAACTCGGTGCTCTTCCTTGACTCTGTGGTGTCACCAGACTGGGCCGACCTGGGGTGGACTGCTACTGTCAGCATGAGAGCGGAGCTGCTGTTCTTCAGCTGCAGTTTCTCATCAATGAGGTAAGCCACAATCTTTGAGGCTTTTTAGTTCTTTTTATAATATTTGGAAACCCGGAGCTGTGCTAATAACAAGTTATAACTTTGTAGCTATAATGATGATTACGAAACGTTTTTAGTTCTTCAGTAGAACTAACAATGAAGCGATGACGGTGGTGATAACAATCACCTTTAACTACCCCGGAGATTGTTAGCATGGTAGCTAGGTTGGGTTTCCTTTATTATGGGATTCATTGATAATGAAATAAAGTCACAATAAGAGTGTAAAGCTCCGGTCTCATCAGTCACCACCAGTGTTGGTCAAGTTACTTGAAAAAAGTAATCAGTAACTAATTACTGATTACTTCCCCCAAAAAGTAATCCAGTTACTTTACTGATTACTTATTTTCAAAAGTAATTAGTTACTTAGTTACTTTTTAAAAACACGATTTACAACCTGAAGAGGTGATAAAGCGATGGATCTTTCAGCCCAATTCTACTTTTTCTACATAATCCATCATATAAATGTAATCAAATGGAAAAGTCTCTTTTTAAAACTTGTTTTATTAGTTTTAATCTTTTAACTTTATGCATCAAGCAAAAATTTAATTATCTGCAACATTCTCTGACTGGAATAAATTAGTTGAACATTTAAACCTATTTTCTGCACATTCCAGCACATAAAATAAAATATTTTTTGTGTTTACACTTAGTCTTTCAAATAGATGCAAGTAAAACACAGCAGAAAATAAATAAAGTCAAAGACTCAGCGGTCCTGTTGCTCTATTTTCACCTGTAAAGCAGGACTGCGGTAGGCGGAGGTTTACCCTGGTGCAGGTGTACAGCGGTCAGTGGAAGAATCTGCGAGTTTCTCTGTGAGTTTCCCATTACGTCGTAGCTACTCGGTGCTTGTTTGGAAGTTTAGGGGGTTTTTCGCTGTAAAAAGAAGTTTTCTTCCCACGCACAGCGGACACTAATGTTTTTGTCACTTTTTATGGAATCAAACTCAAAGTAAGGTCAGTACTTCCACGCTTTAAACGCTGCACGCTCATACTCTCTCTGCACTCGATATGTGATCCATTGTTGATCTGCACACAGCTGTTGTCACGAACGTCGCACTCGCCTACGTCACTGTCATGAGACACTCTCGCAAAAAAAATCACGGTTTTAGTAACGCAGCGTTCCTACGGGAAAGTAACGGTAATCTAATTACCGTTTTTGCAATAGTAATCCCTTACTTTACTCGTTACTTGAAAAAAGTAATCAAATTACAGTAACGCGTTACTGCCCATCTCTCGTCACCACACTGTGTGTTTTCTCACACAGTGTTTGGTTGACTGGACCTTTATAAGGGCCACACACGCTCAACTGTTCACGGAGCATCTGATGCAGGCAGGATTTCTGGAAAGCTTTGTGTCAGCAGAAGACTTCAACACTGCAGTGTATGATGATCTTTTACAATGGAAGCTTTAATACCATGCATAGTGTGCATTTTACAATTGTGTAAATGAAGATTTAGTTGAATTCATTTGCAGGCTGATGGTCGTGACATTTATAAGTAAACATGATTAACTCTCAGTTAACTGATCTTTGAGTGGCAGCAGCCAAAACACTGCACATGTCACTGTTTTAAATGAAGGATCATTGTGAGCAGTGCTTAGTTACACCGATGTGGTTTTTATTCTCTCCTCTTCTTTTCCACCCTGACAAACTGTGGTGTGGGCTTACACGTGACAGTGCTGTGTCATACTGTGCATTTTAGGACTTTAACAGCAGTTTATTGCTGTACTTTCTAACAAAATACTGACGCTGTACCGGGGGAAGAGGATTTCACGATGGTTACAAGAGCAGAAGGTTGACACAGGTCTCAAACGTAAAGCCGTCTCTCATCGATCTTCTGCTTTATTCTGCTGTAATCTCTTTTCCTCTCGGCTCCTCTCGTCTTTTTCTTTCCTCTGTGTTTTTCTTTTTAAGCCCACTGGCTGTTTCAGCCCACTTCTCCATCACTCACTGGCCTACCTGTGATGTGTCTGAGGCAAATGGAGGTGGATGAGCCTGAAGAGGGTTATGTGTGTTTCTGTGTTACAGGTATAGACAGGTTGTGTGTGTGTGTGTGTGTGTGTGTGTGTGTGTGTGTGTGTGTGTTTAAGCACCCAAATGTTTTCGTAATAGTGTAAGAGTGTAGCTGAGAGCACGTTACAGCAGTGTGTGGGTTCAAGTGTATCTTGTCATATTAGTGGATTTTTAAAAGCATGAAGTGTGTGTGTGTGTGTGTGTTTTAAAAAATGGTTCGATAAGTATTTGAATAGTAATTCTGTCTCTGTCCAACACTAATATAGAACAGAGGGACCAAAAGGAGACTGAAGTGCTGAAGCATGGACCCTCAGCTTTATATAAACCATCTATAGTCATAGTTAGTTATATGTAACAAAAAAATGGAAGTCCAGAGGTTAAAATAGGACACGCCCCCAAGGGTGGTGGAGAATGACCAAGCTAAGATCCTGTGGGACTTCCAGATACAGACGGACTAAATGGTGATGGCTAACCAACCGACATAGTGGTGGTAGACAAGCAGAGGAAGACGGCCGTAGTGATCGATGTAGTGATACTGAATAACAACGACATCAGGAAGAGGGAACACGAGAAGCTGGAGGAGTACCAAGGGCTCGAGAAGATGTGGAGGGTGAAGGTGACGGTGGTCCCCGTGGTAATCGGAGCACTAGGTGCGGTGACTCCCGAGCTAAGCGAGTGGCTCCAGCAGATCCCGGGAACTTCTCTGTCCAGAAGAGCGCAGTCCTGGGAACAGCAACAACAATAACAACAAAAACAACAACAGAAAAGCGCTATATAAATGCGATCCATTATTATCATTATTAACAACAACTTTATTTATAAAGCGCTATCAAACAAAGTGCTGAACAGTTATTTGAAGATAAATAAATAAAAGCAATACAATTTAAACGCTGACAACAATTTAAAGACACATAAGATATGGTGAACATGTAAGTCTTTAACTTAGCTTTAAAACCTCCACAGAGCAGCCTGCCTAATATCTTGAGGGAGGTTGTTCCACAAAAATGGGGCACAAAATAAAAAAAGCATGCTCCCCAGTCTCCAACAACATCGGAGATCTCTGTCCGGCAGAGCGCAGTCCTAGGACCAGCAGAGATACTGCGCAGGATCATCAAGCTCCCAGGCCTCTGGAAGAGGACCCGAGCTTGAAGGGTAAACCGCCTGCAGGGGCGAGTGGGGGCTTTTTAAATATATATATAGTGTTCGTGAATATTTGTAAGTATCAGTGCTCTTGACAACATCCTGAGTCCACAGAGGACGCTTTCAGGACTGTAAATACAGATGAGTTACTTTAAGATGCAGACCAGCAAGATTGAAGGATGGATCACATGTTCCTAGAAGACAGCAGACACAGTTTTTTATCAGCTAAAACAAGATTAAATTATAGCAGAACGATGGGAAGAGACGGGGATGGAGAAAGATCAGTGCTCGTGATCCACGTTAAAGCCCATCATCTGTCAGAGGCAGAATCACTCAAATGCTGCAAAGCTCATAGGCAGCACTTCACACACAGAAGACCAAAACCAGAGTGAATCAGCTGACTCCTCACTGACGTTAAAATCATCCAGATATATGTTTTAATCGTGCAGTTACTTTTTGTCCCCAACCAGCTGAAATCCACCAGGTTTCTTCGTCTTCAGCGGGATTCAGAAATGAATTTTTGCTCATAAATATGTTTGCATGGTGTAGCACGCACTCTATGTTAATGCTCCCTCACTGACTGCAGGTCCTCCCATCGCTTGACAGAGTGGATAATAGCAGTGCTCCATGTCAGAACCCTCTCGTGGACTCGGTGCGTGGGCTGCCCTGGTTGGCTCGTGCATTCAGACCTGATCTTGACACTCAGTGAGGTGTAATGACTTCTCCCCATTAGACACGCAGCACCAACCCACAAACGAGGCCACTTCTCAGGTACTCGAGAGCGCTGCATGCACGAAGAGCGTCTTTGTCCTCTAGCACACAAACCCCCACACACGTCGTGTCTTTTATTACTTAGTAATTTCGTACCATCCTCGTGGGCCTCTCGCTTCGTATTTGATGAGCAAAAATATTTATAGATTATTATTTGGTGGCACTGTCAGTGGAGGGTATGAATGGGCTAATTAATGTGTGCGTTTCTCTATTCTGAATTCATTATTATGTTTAATGAATAAAACATGTAAAGAGGCTGGTTTGGTGCCGGAGTCGGGGCAAAGAGAGCAGAGTGCTAATGTAAGAAAAAGGCGATTATTGAGCTGAGCAGGGACCGAACGCGACGCGTGGTTCTGTGTTTAGGTGTAAACGTACAGCAATGTGCTGAATTCTGGAGTCACCCCTCATTTCTTCTTCTCTGCTTCACAGCACACAGACTTCAGTCATGTTATGAACGGGTCAGTAGCAGAGGTCTCCAAGGTTGTCTTCGCACTTTGGTAGCTTGATTTGCTTGAACCAGTGTTAACGTGTATCTGTCATCATTCGATCTTATAAAAAAGCCAAAGGCAATACGATGACGTGTTTTTGGTCATCAGGCTCACTGCTCCGTACAGAAACTCTCCGAGCTTCAGCTCCCTGCACAGATTATCTGTGTGCCTGAGGCGTGCCACGCCATGACCTCAATGTGCTTCTTCTTTAGCCGCTCCTTTGTTGCCCTGGTGGTGAGTTTTGGGTCACTGTCGTACTAACAGACCCATCCTGTCAAGTTTGCTGTGTGTGGCAGCAGGAACGGACCCAAAACTGCTGAACGCCAGAAATACAAAACTAACTAAGCTGAGAATACACATGAGACTAAACAGGCAGAACACACGGCCGGGAACGAGGAAGAATCAGACCCTCAATACAAGAGGGGAGCAGGGCAAAGAGGAAACATCTGGGAAACACAGCCGGCACTAATCCAAAAGACGAGAGGGGGGGAGAGGAAGACATGAACAGGATCAAATACTAACTAAGAAACTAGGAAATACAAGATACAGAAAGTAAGGCTTCAGAACATCGTAAAACCAAAGCAGTGGGTCAGTGACTCAGGTAACACGTCCATAACCACTCTTCAGTACTGTGGCTGAGGGAGGCTCAGGTCCAACATTTTGTGTCACGCGTCTCAGAAAAGCAGCCCCAACCACGATGATGTTGTACGAGTCACATCATTTGCTCCTCTTCCTCCAAACACAGCAGGTCGAGCTGACGCCAAAGAGCTCGATTGTGACTGGGCTGAAATGCTTCTTTTACTCAGTGACGTGGGGGTTGATATTCACTCCTTTAAATTAAAATACATTTGTAATCAGACACCGCTCATTTCTTTGTAAGTGAGCGAACATTATTCCCCTCACTGCTGCTCTGAACGGCGTCGGGGTTAACGTGCTCCACAGTTTGCTGAGTTCAGCTCTGTTTTTTCACTTTTCAGGGAGTTCCTCTGAAAAGTGTTGATTAATGTCAGGCCATGATGAGGCTTAGATATTGATTAGTTAATGAACGATTAGTGTGTACTGTGATGAGTGTCTTAATAGTCATTCCTACTGACCAGATCAATACAGACAGACAAAAGATGAAAGGTTCTGGTGGATTTAAGCAGATCCTTTGTTTGTCTCTGTTCTTGCTTTTTGAAAGGAGCTGCTATCTAGACTACGGGGCTCATCCTCACCTGGTTTTGAGTACAGGTAGAGATACGTGCACCAAGAGATGTTCTGATGTCTTTCTGTGTAATTTCTCTTGGCACGGCTTTCATTTCCACCCATGCCGTTCACTGTACTTGTGCCTGGTTATCTTCTCTTTGTTGCCATCAAGACATCAAGATAATTGACGACAGGCTTTCACCCTGTCTGCCTCGCTTCTCTCTTCTCCCCGTCTGGAGTGATTTCTTCATTAGCGGCTGTTCCACCTCACTCTGTTTTGCTCTCTCCTCCTCTGCCTTCTCCGTTCTTGGCTGCTCGAAAAACTTCCCTGCTGCCCTTTGACAATTATGAAGTGCAGTGATTCTTCAGGAGTGTTCATGAAACATGATGTTGAGCAACTCTAGCAGTGCTATGTTGCATTGCAGTGAAACCCAAGCACATCACACGTGCCTGTTGTCAGCATGTAAGGATATTTGTAAATGGAGCTACAGAAGAAAAACTGGGCTTCGTTCAATCCTGACAAAACGCATCAACTGACAGAGTCGAGTTAAACTGAGCACCCTGTTGGTTTGTTACTAGTCAGGAGGCTGCAGCACGACCAGAGTTACTGTAACTCTGTGCGGTGGACTTGCAGTCTAGCTGCCTTTGAAATGTTTGAGGATGAAATCTGTGACCTCTCACAACTTTAGTGCCTCGAGACAGGGACGGAACAGCAGCGAGTCAGTCTGCTGTCAGTCTGCAGTTTGTTGATGATGATGTTTCGATTCACTGTGACCAGAGAAGATCTGCTGTCATCACAGAAGTTCACATGAGCTACTTACATTCAGCGTTCGTCCAGAACCGTGTAGATTTGAAACACAAATTCGACATTCCCGGTGATGCAACGACAAAAACACAAAGGCACTCAAAGGTTACAGAAGCAATACAACCACAATACAGCCAGTTTAGTTTGCACTTACTGCTACAGGCTGACTCCAGGTCATGCCAAAAGCTGGTATCCACAACGACTTGCAACAAAATGCAGTGAAACCTCCCATTGTTCCCATTGTTCCCAGTCACAGGGAGGTTGCTGTCCTATTTTTACTACTGTGTGACCGAGCCATTACCTCAGCTGATCCACTGAATTCATACTGTGGTCACTGCTAACTCAGCAAACACTTATTACAATCTCACTCAATGGCAAAGGATTTTGCACCTTCCTCCCCAGGACCAGCAGACATCCAAACTGCAATATGTCATTTTTAAAACATGCACAAAAAACATTAGAGGTGCTTTTATCACAAAAAGAAGCTTAAAGCTGAACACAAAGTAAATTACATGCAGTGCAGAAAAAACAGCACAGCTGTGCTGAACCACCAGTACAGTACTTACAGTGTTTTCTGCTGCATACTGGGAGAGATGGGTGATTAGTGGGGGGGGCATCACTGTCTCAGTCAGCATAGTTAAAATAATCTTTAAGCTTCAGACCGTGTTAAGAATCAGCCAGAGCACTGAATCACAGGTTTACTGGGGTTTAAATGTCACTAATCTTACGCAACAATGTTACCATATAAAGACAAAATACAGTATTTAAATCAAGTTTAAAAAGTCCAGCTACAAATAAGCAAATACTCAGCGTCTCATTAACACGCAAGAAACTGAAGCTCGTGTGCATCACATAGATTATTGTTTCACGTTAGAGCAAAAGAACCGCCTGATCTGAAAGAATCAGGACAGACGTGATTTTGAACAGTTACTCGAATCATTTAAGAGAAATAATGGCACGAACCGACACACACGCACGCACGCACACGCGCACGCACACGCACACACACACACGCACACACACACGCACACACGCACGCACACGCGCACACACACGCACGCACGCACACGCACACACGCACACGCACGCACGCACACACGCACACACGCACACACACGCGCACACACACACGCACACACACACGCACACACGCACGCACACGCGCACACACACGCACGCACGCACACGCGCACGCACACGCATGCGCGCACGCACGCACGCACGCACACATGCTTTTGATTTTACTTTCACTTAATGAAACGGTGCCACTCTAACAGGGACATTATTATTCCAGAACAGTGATTGCAGAAGTAGTCAGGTTGCAAACATTGGAAACATTATCTTCACTTGTGGAAGCTGTTTCAGAGCAAAACTAAGTGCAATTTAATGGGCAATTAGCAAGTCAGTGTGAGGCCGTGTTAATCCCAGTGGGATGGAATTATATGATGTGCAAGACACGAACGACTTCAATCCAAAGAAAAGCTCTCGGTGAGATTATGTAAAAAGAAAAGAGGCTAATATATTTATACCGTCTCTCCATGCGGGGCGGGGAGACGTGAAATAACATAGAAGATTATTTTCATTATTTCTCTCCATGTACAGACTCAGTAGTAGCTGTAACCTGTAAAAGTCAAGGCCTTTAATCCTCACAGATACGCTTTCACAGTTTTCTTAATGCTTTCATTGTCTCGCTGTAATTGGTGGAGAAAATCACATTTATGAGTCATTTTTGAAAAATAGAGAAAATCAAATCATGTGTGCTATGAAGGCGATGCTCCACCTTATGGTCACCACTGCCTGCTTCTGTCTGTGATGCTGCGACTGTGTTTCAGTGGAAAGTTGGACAAACAAATATCTGATTGGGTTCATGCAGAGCCCAGATGTGAAGGTGTGAGGACAGTAAGCAGATGTTTGGAGATGGGCTCATGTTCATGCAGTGGCTTTATTATGACTGCCCTGCAGAGTCTGTGTATGAGCAGTTCTTGCTGTGCAGAAGGATTACAGGCTGTGTCTTTTCTGTCCTCCAGGGGGCGCTGGTCTCAGCCTGTGCAGACGACACGTTGCACTTGTGGAATCTGCGCCAGAGGCGGCCGGCCATCCTGCATTCACTCAAGTTTAACAGAGAGAGGTATGCACACACTCGCACATAAAATCTGTATAAAAAGATGGACATAGGCCTCATGATGTCATCCTTTGGTAAGCGAATCAGCTCGAGCTGAGTGTTTGTGTGTACACTTCAAACTCACTGATCCTCCTCTGAGGATCATGATTTATTAACTCTGTGTTGTATCATTACGTCTAAAAACAGCAGAGGCATAGAGGTGGACACCTTCTCACCCAGAGCGGCTCCGATGGTCTGTAGCTACATCCCATCCCAGCAAGCATGTGCTGGTTAGCAGCCTCAGCTGTGGCATCAGTATCCAAAGCCAAACAGCAGAGTGTGGGTGCTTAGAGGAACAGCCTTACCACTTTGGCTTTCTTCACAACTGAACTGAAAATGTGTCTGTTACACCAAACGTGACCTGACACGATGTCTCCTGCAGAAAAGCGGATCTGTTGCACGCTCTGGGGTCATGCTGGCTGCGTCCTAAAGATGGAGAAGCAGAGTGTTGTTCAGATGTAGGACAGAACTCTGATGCTGGCTAAAAGCTCTGCTCCACCTCAGCCGATGACCCCCGTGCCCCGCGACACCACGCCCCTGCCACAGCCGACTCGTTTCACATGAAAACCACATGAAGCAGTGTTTACACGGTTATAGCAAACAGGCTTCTGCACCTGTGCAACACTTTAAAAACACATTGCTGATGACAGCCTGGGTCGAACAGCAGTCAGAGAGCTGAATCTGGTGTCTTTGCTCCTCTTCTGTTTCAGAAGTCATCGTTCTGGTGGGGTGGGGGTGATGTGGGTGTAACAGTACCTGCTCGATGTCTTGATTGCGTGTCAGTGTCTGTACAGCTTCCATATTTGACACCTCGTGCCAGTCTCAGAAAAGAGAGGGCTGAGACGCCAGCTGCAGCTCCTGCAACACTGGACAATACTGGCTGATTATCTGCAGGAAGGTCAAAGCCAGCAGGCGTTACTTGGTACAGACTACGTTTCCTCCAGCTGGTACAAATGTGATCAAGTCCTATGTTCATTGAAGCAGGCTGAGTGTGTTCTGTGTGTCTTGACTTCTGGCTCAGCTCGTTGGTTTCTGAATGGAGAAAGAGATTCCCATCCTCGGCTCGCTTGTTTTTCCATTTTTCAGCCCCTTCTGTCTATTGGCTCTTTGCTTTTTCCCATCAGCAGCACATTTTCTGCTCTCTGCCATTAAACATTAATGCCAAACAATGGCCTCTGGATGCTGATGCTTGGTTTTAAAAACTTTTCCCCCAGTTTCCTCCTCAGGAAAACCTCAAAGGGTCACTCAGTTGATGCAAACGCTGCCTCTGAGTGACCCAAATGGGCAAAATGCTGTGAGCGGCTTAGCCGAGCACGTTCAGACACAGGCGCTTCAGTGTAGCACCGTTCGATTATTCTGATACCTGCAGGCTGCCATTTCTGTCTGCAGGGGGAAAGAGCAGGCTGCTGCTGTAAGGGAGCAGGAATCAGTATGAACGTTTGCTGCACCTCAGCTGCTGTGTTCAAGTTTGCAGTGTCCACGCCAGTGTTGGTCAAGTTACTTGAAAAAAGTAATCGGTAACTGATTACTGATTACTTCCCCAAAGAAGTAATCCCGTTACTTTACTGATTACTTATTTTCAAAAGTAATCACTTAGTTACTTAGTTACTTTTTAAAAACACGATTTACACCCTGGTTACCCTGGTGCAGGTGTGCCGCGGTCAGTGGAAGAATCCGCGAGTTTCTCTGTGAGTTTCCCATTACGTCGTAGCTACTCGGTGCTTGTTGGAAGTTTAGGGGTTTTTTCGCTGTAAAAAGAAGTTTTCTTCCCACGCACAGCGGACACTAATGTTTTTGTCCCTTTTTATGGAATCAAACTCAAAGTAAGGTCAGTACTTCCACGCTTTAAACGCTGCACGCTCACACTCTCTCTGCACTCCATATATGATCCATTGTTGATCTGCACACAGCTGTTGTCATGAACGGCACACTCGCTTACGTCACTGTCGTGAGACATTCTTGCAAAAAAATCACGGTTTTAGTAACACAGTAACGCAGCGTTCCTACGGGAAAGTAACGGTAATCTAATTACCGTTTTTGCAATAGTAATCCCTTACTTTACTCGTTACTTGAAAAAAGTAATCGGATTACAGCGTTACTGCCCATCTCTGGTCCTCGCTGTAGGTGGACCTCCGCTGCTGCATGCTTTATTCCAGACACATAATATTGCGGTCCTGTCAGGATCGTTGGCTCCGTCAGCTTAAATACACACAGTAACCTTCAGCTAACTCTGTGGTTTCTGACGGTGTCTGAGTCGTTAAACAAGTGGAGAAACATTGATAAACGGTCAGAGCCTGTTGAGAGTGCGATGCCACAGATGAGGTCCTTAAATATTTACAGGAGGAAAAAGTTTCCTTTTCATAGCTTTGAACATCGAGCCTCCCTGTTCTCTGTGCGAGGACATTTAGTGAACATAACTCTGTGCTCGCTGTAACTGTATGTAATCATCATTCTCATCCAGCTGCTGGCAGGTTACACTCTTAATACAGGTGAGTGAAGGTAAGACTCACTCTGTTTGCTTCATCTGAGTCATGGAGGCCGTTTTCTCTCTGCTGAAACTTCCCGTAAGAAGCAGGAGAACAACGAGCTGTGAGCCAGAGTCGCCAGCACATCATAACACAGCCAGGAAGCGCTGCAGTGTGAACAGTGTGTTACACAGGACAGGAGAGGACTTTGTGCCTGTAACAGAGCCTCAACACAAGTATTTGTTTTAATGCAAAGATATTAACAACTGATTATTTAAGCAGGAGCCTGGAGGTGAGCAGATTTCACTTAGATGCCTCAGACATGGGAGGAGGTGCTCATGTGTTATTACAGAGTGATGTTGCACTGTTAACACAGCACACTCACTCTGCACGTCCTGTTTGTAGCTGTGGCCGAACATATACAAGCGTTCTTCAACATTATTATGTTTATTTATGAGATCAGGCTCATGGATGTTGGTGGGGCTGGATGTTACCTGCAGCCTGAGAGATGCTGCTGCCTGCTGAATATGTAGAAAGTGATGCTGTGGTTACACTGATGCTGACTGTAAGCCACTGCTTCTGTAATCTAACCCACTCTAATCATTTTATCATGTTTACATCATTCCATCCTCGCATTTGGAGTCTCTGATTGAGCTATTTTTGCAGCTGGCGTCATCGCATAAGAGTCTACGAGTCTTACAGCCTCGCAGCTGTGCGCGATACAGCCAGTCTGCCCACACAGGCTCTGAGCTAAATGTTAGGAGTAATGCTTTGATTCAAAGGTGTTGAAACCCTCTTTCAGCAGCGTCCCACCTGCCTGTCGGTGCGATAAGGTAGGAGGCAGAACCGCTCAGCGGAAGAGCAGCGAGTCACGCTGTAAGACAAAAGGAGAAAAGGGCATCGTGCATCATCCATCACAGGCGCTGCCTTTCCATTTAGCTCTGTGTCTCCAGGCTGCACCTCTGACAGTCAGTGTCCTAATACCTCATCACAGTCCCACAAGGATAACGCATGACTCAGCAGAGAGACCCGCTCTGTGATGACTGTCGGCCGTCGTAGTAAAATAATAATACGAGTGTTTGCTGATTAGGGCTGCCACAAACGATTATTTTGATAGTCGACTGGTCACCGATTATTTTTGCGATTAGTCGACTAATCAGATCATCATCCATTAGACGTAAAACTACAGCTTATTGCACCAGCAGCATCTGCTCTTATATAACTATCATTAGCTTACAGCTTTAAGTGTTTAAGGTCTGTGCTAACTAAAAATAAAGACAAGATGATAGTTTATTAAACTTCACCGAAACAATCTGCAAATTTCATTAAAATTTAATAAACTCCTTGCTATCTAAAATATAACAGGACACCGGAGTAAATTCTGGAGCATCTCACACTTCTGATAATCAGCTGTCTGCTTGACGTTTATTCAGCTGTGTAAAAACTTTAATCTCAGCCAAACCGATTTACTCAGGAACAAATAAAATACTGAAAAAAGCCAAACAATAACATTTTTAAGTTATCTAAGTGACTCATATATATTTAACCTGAGTAGGAAAGACGGCGGTGGGTTTGAAAACGATTTGCGGGGAGTCCGGTGTTCTCACGGCTCTAGTTAGCCTAGCCCCCGGCTAGCTATCGAGCTAGTGGGTAACAGACGTCTCCGAAAACGTCGGAGCGCTTTTGAAAATATGCGGTGTCCTGATAAACTGAGCAGATATTTGAGGTTTACACAGCTACATTCTTGCCTGAAAATATGTTAAACGTTTATTTTGTGACCCAGAAAGAATAATAAGAGTAACATTAAAACTAACCAGCTGCTGCCATTGTTGGAAACTAAGCAGGGCCGCGCTATGAATTCTGGGACACAGTTTCTTCTTCTTCGGGGTTTAACGGCAGCTGGCATCCTTGTACATGCAGTGCTGCCATCTTCTGTTTCAGTCCGTTATTACACTCTTAAATCCTGCTACTTATTCCTGCGTCTTTCAGGATCTTACAAAGCTTCAAACGACACTATTAAATTAGTCGTCGACGATTTTGATAGTCGACGTAATCGTGACTAGTCGACTAATCGTGGCAGCCCTATTGCTGATACAGGAAGTCGCTGTGGGATTCCTGACGTCCTGGTCACTGGTCATGCACAGCAGATGGCGAGGTTACTGGTTCCTGAGATGAAGTCACCAATTTGATTAATCTCTGCATCCGTTTCCTTCGTTAGGAGTATTTATTTGAGCTGCTGCTCTGCCAGCAGCTGAAGTCATGCTTTTCTTCTTTATTCAGATCGATAATTATGATGCTGCATGGTGCCGCTAAAACAAAAGCTTTGATTTTCCTTATATATCTGTATTCATCACTACGGGCCTCCTCCCACTTCCTGTGGTCGTCTCATTTCTTCCACACTTTGTCTTTTATGCGAGCGATTATCTCAAACTGAAGCACTCAGTGCTGAAAGGCTTTTCTAAAGAAGGAGTTTCTTCCTCTGCGTCCACAGGGACGCTATCACGACTCGCTGTGAAACTCCAGGTCTGGTTCTTAAAATACAGCAATTTAAACATTTAATGTCAACATTTTTCAGAATTTGTGCTCTTGGATGGATGTTTGTGTATCCATTCGAAGTAATAACGATGAATAAAATGCTTCTTTAAACAAGGAAATATACAAATTGGACGTCTGAAGCCTAAATGCTTGTTGTGGGAATAGACGCCTGTGTAATCCTCTGCTGCCCGTGCTGCTGCACACCCCACCTTTCCCCAGGCCAGTTTGAATATCATCATCTCCTCGAGCCCCTTAAATCCTTATTGAATCGCCTGCCCTCTCATTTGTCTTCTGTCTAATAATTCTGCCTTGCTGGGTGGCTGTTGGGCTGATCCGCTCCACAGTGATCAGCATGAGAGTGACTTACTGCTCTGGTCTTTGTTCTCTGCTCACAAAACCAGACGGTGAAGAAGCAGCCTCGCATCACACAGTTATTTTCTTGTGCAATAACATCATGTGTTATTCAGCAGGAGTGTAAGTGTTTATGTGGTCGTGAAAAACACCTGAAACATCAAAGTAATAATAAAAAATGTTTTTTCCAAACATTAAATTCTGAACAGTTAAAAAAAAGATGAAATATTTGTTATCGGCTGTTTCCAGGAGACGCACGTTCACACAGGTTTGCTGATTGTAGGCGACACAGTGTTGTGTGTCATAGATGTGCGTTTCCGGTCTGTGTGCTCCTCCTCCTCGTGTTTCCTGTTTTACTTTGACAGTCTCGTGCGCTACGTGAGTGTCGTCGGTTTCGTTCCTCCGGTCTCGTTGTGCGGTCGCTCCCAGCTGTCTCTCTGTGTGTTTGTTCCTCTGTTTGTTTCTGGATCGTCTGCATTTCCTCTGCCGTTCTTCCCGCCGTGTTTCCAGGTTTCATCTTTAGCTTTTGGTAGTTCCCTTCCTGCCTTTTGTTTTGTAATGTTTGCTGCAGCCCTAAATAAAGGCTCGCTTTTTGTTAACATCCGCCTCCGTTTGTCTGCGTTTAGGTCCGCATCCCCTTCTCTCCACGCTGTCTGTCTTAGCAGACGGGACAGTTTTCAGTAATTCATACATCAAATGTAAAGTTTTGTGCAGAATGATGGTGGGTGTTTCTGGAATGGACCAGGCTAAGCTTGAAGCGAATATCAACAGTGTGAAATGTTACAGAAGACATAAAAAGATCAAGCTTTTACTGCTGGGAGTTTCTGTGAAGTACCATAAGTAGAGTGTTTCTGCCGGACTTGCAGACTGAGGGAAAAAGTTCCTCTCACATGAGAAAAGCAGGAATTGCATCATTAAAGGGCAGGAAGAGCAAATGTGGGCAATCATACCTGCGTGAAAGGTGCTATCCTGCAACAACACAGTTCTAAATTAAGCCTCGACAAAGGATGAGTCAGGCCGTGACGTCCGTGCATGAGTCAGGCTCTGACTCGTCTGAAGAAGGGAGCTTATCACGGAGAAAATGACTGTGACAGTGACACGGTGTCACATACAGCACACACACACTCCTGCATCAGTTACACTCAGGCAACAAAACACCAGAGAGAAGACTTCAGTGTAATTACCTCACGTCACAGGCTCGCCTGCTCTTACGTTGCTTTTTAAGACATTTCTTATCTTTATATCTTTAAAATGATGTCTTGAGCAGGTTTCACATGGACAACACGTTGGACACATATAAGCACATCAGCATAAGCAGCACCAGGCGTATATTAGTGTCCTAACACTCAGAGACGTGCGTGGTTATGTGTTTGACCCAGAGACGCACAAAGCGTTGTTTGGCTGACGCTCAGCCGGTTTTCCTTCTTCTCTCTGCAGGATCACATTTTGCCACCTGCCCTTTCAGAGTAAATGGCTGTATGTGGGGACGGAGCGCGGGAACACACACATCGTCAACATCGAGTCCTTCGTTTTGTCCGGATACGTCATCATGTGGAACAAGGCCATCGAACTGTGAGTATCTGAGGCTGAAACAGAAGCGGTGCTAAATCGTGAGGATGGTGTGGGTTTACGATAAACGATGAGTTTATTCTGAACGTGCATGCTTAGATCCATGCATGCCGTAAGAGTCGCACTGTCACGGCAGCTACCAGACTTGAGCTTTTCCTCCTTTGGACTTTCCTTAACGCTCCCCAATGACAGCATTTGAGGACCTCCATCTGCCTTTTGTGAGCGGTTCTGACATCTGTAAAGTCGTAGTTTGATCACCATTGGAATATTTTGTTTGTTTTTCCGAGGGAGGCGGTATAGGAAGAGACTTCCTGCAAACACGGTTATTTTGCTCTACAAGCAGGCGTGAAAGAAAAAGCGCTTCAAGGCTGACTGCTAGCAGGCTTTCAAAGGGTCAAGAGTTAGACGTTACCGTTAGATTCCTTCAGTGAAACACGATGTGCACGCTCTTGTGTTTGGTTATTGTGAAACTGACACATGCCCCCGACTGACAGCTCGGCGCCATCAGGCACGCACACGCTGCTCGGCTGCATTGTACGGCCGTTTGTTTTCCGCGGCGTCACCCACCTACGCGCTGCTCTTCTGCTGTTACCCTGACAAGTCCCCTGCTGCAGTGTCAGTCACAAGTCGCTCTTATACCGAGCCATCTTGTTGCCTTGTGACAGTTGAAACTACGGCGAGCAGTCTCGACACGATGTGCGTGCGTGGGAGGTGCTGTCTGCCAATCATCACACAGAGGCAGCGGTTGGGATTTTAGCAGGAAGTTTGGTTTGTTGATTCTTCAGGACAAAGTCAACAAGGACAAGCTCAGCATCTGTTTAAGAACCTGAGAAGTTTGAACTGTTACAGTGAAATAGAAGAAGAAAAGTGTTTCATGTGGAAGGTCGTTGGCTGTCGATGAAGACCTGCTCTGGCTGTAAGGCTGCCCTGCGTGCACACGCAACACGTCCTTTATCACATTCACCTTTTAAATATTGTTGTAATTGGTCTCAGCGCAGGAGGAAAGCGACCGCATGCATGAACACCTCGTGTAGATCGTGTCCTTCTGTGATGAGTTTTTAATTTTGCAGTAGTCTGTGGACCGCAGCGTGACAACGGTCTGATTTGATCACATGACTGTGGTCACACCTGCTGCATGATAACATGCTCAGAGCAGCTGTTTCTCGTCCGTGTGTCCAGTCAGAGTAACACAGGCTCGGTCATATTTGTTTAACTGAAGACTTAAAATATTACCAGTTTATCAGGGTTAGAAAAGCATGCTGAGGCTACGTTACTCCTTCACCTTGATACGTGTACCTCGTTACTGACGTAGGCGGCTCAGGATTGGTTGGTTTTGTTTGGAATGACTCTGTGTGGATTAACCGTCAGCACAGACAGCGTGCAGCGTGCAGCCACCTTCACCTGCTCGTGCTTCAGGATTTCCAGGTGACATAATGATGGATAAACACACCAATGTGAACGCGTTACGACTGTGATGCACATGAAACACGTCGTGTAATTAGCTGCAGTTAATGAGGACTGCAGCCACCTGCAGCCTGCGAGCTGTCAGTGTGAGTGAGCATGTCATGTGAACGGGCGTTTTGTTTCCCACAACAAAGAAAGATGAATGTTAAATGCAGTGGGTGTGACTGGTAAATGAACTAGTTCTTATGTGATGTGTTTCTGCTCTAAAAGCACCGTATTCAACGTGCTTCCTCCACCCATTCACACGAGCACTTTGTGCTACGCCTCAGTGCTTTCTGACATCGTACATGTTCACGGGAAAAGTTCATATCTGGTTAATTAAACAGCCAAAAACATGCGAGCCACCAACAACTAAGGCGGGTCACGTTGCCGAATCCGACCGTTTGTTGTTCTGCTTATCCAGTTAAGAGTCACGGCTGAGCTGGAGCCAATCACAGCAGTGAAAAGGGCCGGACAAGCATTCGCTCGCTACTTCACACTTACAGCCAAGCCAGCGTTCTCAGATTAGCTCATGTGTACTTCAGGATAACATAAGAAGATAATACTTGGATGAGAAGCTCATTGAGTTGATCGTTTCTCCTTCGTCGGTCGACTTCTGTGGATTTTCCTTTAGTGAGGACGGAGCTATGAGGCCAGTGTAGGACGTGCAGTGGTTTCCGTCTTTGTCTTGTTTTTCTTCTTCCTCGTCTTCCTGGAACAGTTGCAGCCTGGTGCATACACCTGCCTACAGTACCTGCAGTATAGAAACAGCCTCGTTTTCAGTGTTCTGGTATTGAATCGTAGATCTCGGTGACATCTCTAATGCTTCTATAGAAAAGTGCCTCAACGTGCTGACGCAGCTAAATGTCTGCTGGATCCTCTATAATTAAATATCAGGGAGAGATGGCCTGTAGATAATGGCTCATTTAAGAATAGGTAACTTTCCTTTATGACTTGAGCTGCAGAGTGTACCACAGTCTCAACAACGGGCATGTATTATACACGACGCTGTAATATATTCTGTATTTCCTAACCGTCAGCACTCTTTATCTTCCTGAAGTAGGGTTCATGAACGAGTCGAGAATGAATCTCTTCTCATCAACAGCCGGGGTGACTGGGGACTCGTGTTATTTATCTGGGGAGGATTTCCACGAAGCATGAATAAGGATGAGAGGGGACTTTGTGCAACATTTAGCGAGCGAGGGCGAAGTCTCCTAACCGTGCAAACAGGAGGGTGTGGATCGCGTCGACGTATGACTGCACGAGTCGTTTGGTTGGTTCAGTGTGCAAAAAAAACAATTCAAATGGGACCAGTGCAGCCAAACAGGAGGGCCGGGCTCTCATTGATATTCAGACGGGTTTGCAACATATTTAATGCACAATTTCATCTTCAGGAGATTCGCTCTGAAATGAGAGATAGAAATGAGATGCGAGGAGAAACACAGCAGCCCAGTGCTCACTCCTCACAGAGCCCTCCGATGAGCAGAAGTATGTTTGCGCCTGGCTTCGTGTCAGCTGTAATAAACACCGGCACGTTTTCCTATTTCTGCTATTGGGACTGTAAAATAAACAGTTGGCTTCCAGCCACCGCCCGGTTTCACGGCCTCTTCACAGCATGAATAATGAGCAAAAATGCTTCCGTGCTAGAGAAATCCATACGTCAGCGGGAGGGTTATGAAAAGATCATCGTCTTTATTAAATACTGTGTGTAAAAAGGCCGCGCTGACATGTTTACGCCCTCCGACCTCACAGAACGGTTTTTCTGTTCTGAGCCTTACGTTGGTGCAGCTGGTAAAGAACGGCCACTTTAAACAGCGTTTGTCTTTCTCATGGAAATCCTGCACTTCGTACGTGCATCAGCACTCTGAGCTGCTCCCCACTACATGCATGCAGCACAAGCAGCAGGTGGCCTGTCAACAAACAGTGTTTCTCCAAACCTTCCACGTGGACATTTAGCAGAGCGTGCTGGTTCATAGCCCACCCAGCCACGTTTCAGAGTGGACGGGTGAAAGCCCACTCAGAGAGCTCTGAGTCTAAATCGCTGCAGGGATAAAGTCATAAAAACTACAGACACCTGCCTGAAGGTCAAGAAACGTTCAGCGCTTGAAGAAATTTACTGTAAACCCCCCCCCTACAAAACCCCCTCTGAGTCAAACACGTGAGATTATTTCAACCGTTTTCTTCTCAGACCAAATACATTCATGTTTACTGTTGTTTGGATTTATCATCCTTTCAGATCCTCCAATAAAACGAGCTGAATGAGCTTCTGCTCAAATAAAGTCTGTCTTTGCTCTGTAGTTTACACCACAGGATTACACCTGTCCAGAGTAATCTATTACACATCAAATCTGTAATAGTAATTTTAATGCAGACACCAAAGGACAAAATGAGTGTCTGGATCAGTTCCATTGGTTTGCCTTGTTGAACTCGCTGAGCGTGATAACAGCGGTGCTTGGCGGTCGCCGCCATAATCTGATGTCCCACTGTTCGCCCGTGGGATGTGTGATTGCATCACTGGGGGGTGATGCCGCCCTTCACAGTAACTCTGAGACTGAGCCGATGATTTAAATATTATCATTTCTAATTCTAACATCGAATAAGGTTAAAGCCTCAGCTGGCATGTTAACGTCTGCGTAGTTACAGAAAGACTTTGGAAACGTTGTCACGAGAGCCGTACTTCAGGCATGGTGAGGGAGGGGTGGGGCCTGGACGCCTTACAGTCACCGAGTAATTATGTCAAAGCTTTTGTTTCATCACTTCCTCTGTCAGTCTGGCGACTCTGCTGACATTCACAGCAGACAGATGCTGGACTTCCTGTTTCCTCTCCAGAGATCCCGCATGGACATGAATGGTCTCTAAGAATGTCAAACACCATAAAACCAGACGCAGTGAAAAACAAGCTCAAACACATTTTGCTGTTTGTGTTGCCATGTTTCACGTGTGTCACACAGCCTCAGCACATGCCATATTACGTGAATGCATGCGACACACGGCGAGAGCGGTGTCTGCAGCTGACGTGCCGTTTCCTGCCTCGCCCCCTCTCGTCTGTCATATTGATTATCTATCCTTTTCTAGCCGTGATTGGTTGTCATGGCGCCCCTGGAGCTTAAGGTGTCTTTGTGTTTGTGATCCCAAAAGGTGCTCGTGCTTCTCTGATGCTTACGAAATATTTCAGTAATATCATTTTCTTCCTCCCAGTCTAAATGTGTTTTTTCTTAGTTCATGCAGAATATGCAGTTATTGGTGAATCGTGCTCACCGGGCAGGACAACAGTCTGATTTTAGATCAACAACAAGCAGTGCCGATTTGTTTTTGGCGCCAGATTTGGTAAAATCACTGCTTAACGAGCACTGGGACCATCCTGCCTTTAACGGGGCTTTAAGTGTTCATCTGTTTATTTGCAAACAGCATTTCACCTAAGAGCAGAGACGCAATTAGAAACGCTGCCCTAAAACCACACAACAAACCACCAACTTATCTTCAAAGATCTGGAGAATAATGACCACAGAGGTTTGCCCAAGCAGAAAATCAGCATGAATAATAGAAAGGCAGAGTTAAAAAGCACATTAACGGTGCAGGGAATAATAAAAAGACCAGCTTACTGTGGCCTGGCTGCAGAACAAAGCGCTGTAATGTAAGGACGCTTTTAATTGTTAAAATCTCCATGAGCTGCTCGTGTGTCTGTTCAGATCAGATTGGATTTAAGAGGAAGCTTTATGTGATTATCTTTGATTGCTTGGCAGCGCTGTTATTTCTTCATGAAATAAAAGGATCCTAACATCGTACAGTCTCTGAGAGCAACAACTGCAAGATGACCTTCATGACCTGGATCAAAGAAACACGTCAAACATGAGCAGATCTTCTGTTTCTCTTAGAATATCAGACAGCGCGGTGGGATTCAAACATTCATTGATTAAATGATTTCATGAGCATTTGTGGACACGCTGGCTATAATTCCAGCTGTGAGCAGCCTGCAGAGACAAACGCTCGCTGATGCGTCAGCGTGAAGCGTCTTCTTGCTCGCTGCAGTTACTTTCCGTCTCTAACTTTGAGAAGTCACACAGTTCAGCTGTTTGGCCTCACAGCTTGTCAGAAAATATTCATCCCAAGCATCGGCAAACACAGATTCACTCGGGCTGCTTTTCAGAGTCTGGCCTTGACGGAGAAATGTTATCAGTCAGTAACTCGGCTCCGATTCACACGTGTCCCCACGGTGTGAAAGGCTTCCACAGGAAATGACCTTCCACACACAATCACAAGCTTCCTGACTCATCTCTGCTTTATCAGAAATTCAATATCTGCTGTGAACTTTCTGTCGCCGACGTGTTTTATCGTTGATCGGTCCTGATTGGTTCTAAAAGCACAGGTTTGTTTCTCTGTGCAGAGGGTTCAGGGTCCCACGTTAGCAGGCGGGTTACATCACCGGGTATATTCGATATATTCGAGCTCCTGGCTTTCACCCTGTGTGCTGCACTTACGTGTCCGGGCAGGTGTTGTGCGTCGCAGATGGTTGGTTGATATCCTGGTTTGTTAACGCAACAGCGATGCATTGAGAGCGTGTTCTGGTTTCATGTTTTTATCGCTCTCCAGCAGCAGGCATAACTAAACGGGCCCATCTGAACACGTCAGTCACACTTTGCCTCAGCTCGCCAGATTATAGGCACAATGCTACAGTGTCCTGACTGTGGCAGCTAAACTGAATCTGCCGGTGATCATGCAGCTCTTGTGGATTTCTTGGAAAATAGCGATGCATTTTATTTTAGTGCTGCAGGTTTGTGCTGCGAGGAATCACCAAGCACTGATCTGCTGTAGCTGCCTGCTCCAAGGGCACAAACAACTTACTTTAAATTAAAGGAGCTCTCATCAAACTCTCATCATGCAAGAATAAATCATTCAACAATAATATACTATATCACACCATCCTGTGGAAAACTCTCACGACTTCTCCAGATATTTTTCTGTCCAAGGAGACAGACTTTCTTGTTAAGGTGCTGTTGAGCAGAAGTTCAGGTCTTTCTGTTTTCACTCATACTCAGTCCTCTCGTTCATGTAGCTAATGCTACAGCGTAAGGTATCTGAAAGTCATGTTAATAGGAAGCACAGGAGCTGACACGGGAGCTTCAGCTGATCACACTTCACTGAAGCCTCATCAGAGAAGATTCAGTGAAGGACGGCTGAAGGGAAACAGGAGGACAGGCTGAGGCTGAAAATGACACCAGAACTGGACTGAAGGTCAGAGGAACAGGTGTGATGGAGAGATGGATCCACATCATGGTCAGTGTGTACGAGGAGGTCAGGAGGAGGTCCAGCAGTGAGCGTCTGCAGCCATCTGTGAAGCACGGTGGAGGCTGTGTCATGGTTTCAGGTCAGTCAGTGCTGTTGGAGATCTTAAACTGATGAATTACAGAGTCTGATCCACCACGCAGGAACATCTGGAAACATCTGACTGGCAGCAGCTTCATTTTTCAGCATCATAGTGATGCCAAACACAAAGCACACATCAGTGATGGATGCGCCTCCTCAGAGCTCAGCTCCACTGAAGCAGTGTGGGATCATCCTGACAGAGAACACAAGCAAAGGCAGAAACATCTGAGGAAGAGCTTTGACTGTCCTTCAGGAAGCCTGGAGAACAGTTCCTGAAGATCCTCACAGAGCTGCTCAGAGAGCTCAGTCTGTGCTTCTTCAGCACAGACTCTGTTTTTGCCGTACATGCTGTGTTTCCATGTATGTTTGCACGTTTCAGTCACATATCTCCCAAAATATAAAGAAAGGAGGGTGGCTCAAGACTTTTGCACAGGACTGTATACTTTATGTGCCTTACTTTATTTAAACACTGAAATGATGCATATGTCACATTTCCTCACATTATTCATAAAAACAGCCTAATGTGAGCGTTTAGCTTGACACCTTTACGGCGTGTTTTATACTGCAGGCTGTAATTTTTGCATCGCCACAGAAACGATGTACCTGATATCTAAATGTCAGTGTTGTGTGCTATTATGGTGGCTGGCAGCAGGCAGCTTGTTTAGGGGCCAGAAAATTACAGCTATAACAGAAACACCTTAAAAATGTAATAAATACCACATGTAAGGCTTTGTTGTTGCTCCCTGCTGACTGCAGTTTGAATACATCAAGTGGGTTCTTTCTCTTCCACACAGTGCCGACGGATGTCACACAGCTAAGCGGCGTGTTAGCGTAAAGCATGGCTGTGATGCTGAGTACGTGGGCGTGGCTGCAGTAAAGCGTTTGTTGCAGTATTGTTTCAGAGCGTTACACTTTGTCTTCCTCACCTCTGTTATTTTTCCTTCTCATTACAGATCAACTAAAACTCACCCAGGACCAGTCGTTCATTTGAGTGACAGCCCAAAGGATGAAGGAAAGGTGTGTAGGCGCATCAAAGCATCACCTTCATGATTCTCCTCGAGCACCAGTGCTGAAGCAGTCTGCTGCACTGAAGCTGCCTCCCTTTTCACGCTTTGTGCCTCCAGTAAAATCTGAGCTTTTTCCTCTGCCGTGTTTCTGTCATCCCCGCCCCCCCATCACTCCCCCCATCACTCCCCCCATCTTCATCCTCGATCCTGACCCTTTCTTCCTGTCGGCCATTATTTTGTTCTAATTGCTCACCTTTCACTCTCTCACCTTGGCTGTCTTTGTGTGCTCGCTGAAAAAGAGCCGTCCTGTGTGCAGCGTCGCTCCTCTTGGTGCCCTCGTCTTTGTTTTGCTTCTTTTTTTTACTCGCGAACAAAGAAGAAAGAAGCTGGATGGAAAAGTTGCAGAAAGAGAAAGAGAGGTCATTGAGAGGCATATTGATTTTTGCCAGTGGAATTCTGTAGCCCTCGGATGAAACCAGACTTGAAAAGCTTTAAAGACAAAAGAATGAGACATGAATTTTCAGCTGCCGTCACCTACTGCAGTCGCTCACTGCGAGCAAGAACAAAGGCCGTGTGTTTAGAGACGTCTCCTATCCTTGAACAGCACAAAGTTAACCCTTCGTAAGCAAAGGGGACAAGTTCTCTCAGCTCACGCTAATGCTGCTGTCCTGTAGCTGAGGTTAGTTAAGCTAGCCTCCGTGTGCTTGGTAATGGTGATTGTCACTGAAAGGTTAGTGTGAGTTTGCTAGTCGCCAACTGATGCACCAGCTTCTCTGCTGTCAGTGCTCATGCAGGCTCATCTACCATGAAGCCGGAGGACTCGCTTTCCTGTTCTGCTCAGTCAGTCTTTCAAACTGGATAAAAGCTTTGAGATGATGAATGTCATTCTGTAGAAAAATGATCGTGAAACGACCTCAGATGACATCAGTCTCAGCATCACTTTGCGCAACTGGAAGTCTTTAAAAATCCAGTTCAACAAGTTTAACATACAGCAGGAAATACAGAGCATTATTATTATATTACTGATCACTAACACAGGTTTGGAACAATGTTATTTATATAACACCAAATCACAGACATCTACATACAGACAAAACACAACAATCATATGACCCCCTATGAGCAGCACTTTGGCGACAGTGGGAAGGAAAAACTCCCTTTTAACAGGAAGAAACCTCCAGCAGAACCAGGCTCAGGGAGGGGCGGGGCCACCTGCTGTGATTGGTTGGTGTGAGAGAAGGAAGACAGGATAAAGACATGCTGTGGAAGAGAGACAGAGGTTAATAACAGATATGATTCAGTGCAGAGAGGTCTGTTAACACATAGTGAGTGGAGTAGAAACTCCCAGTGCATCATGGGAATCCCCCAGCAGCCTACACCTGTTGCAGCGTAGCTAAGGGAGGATTCAGGTCACCTGGTCCAGCTCTAACTATATGCTTTAGCAAAAAGGAAAGTTTGAATCTTAAAAGTAGAGATAGTGTCTGTCTCCTGGATCCAGACTGGGAGCTAGTTCCACCAAAGCAGAAACTGAATTAATGATGACAGCAGATATTAAATGAATGTTTCCAGTGGCAACATCCCTTATTCAGCTTATAAATATGTAGTATATGTAACGTCTGCTCTTTATTTGGTCTGTTTTGAACAGATTTTGTTTTGTTTAAGCCGTTTCTTTCAACGTGCTGCAAAAAACATCAAATAAAAACCCAAAAAATGAATGAAAAGAAAAATTGTTTAAAAAGCAGTTAAATTTTCTTCACCAAAGCCCATAAAAGATTATTCTCAGGTTTTGCTTTGTTGCCTTTGATGAAATCTCTGCTGGAGTAAACGGCTGTAATTTCACTGCAGTTTGTCGACGTGCTCTTTAAACTGCCCACAACAGAGCCGCATGAACACCGCCTTCATGCTTAATAGATATTTATTATGTTAATGAGATGTCACTGATATGTCTCATTCACATCACAGCAGACCTGCCTGCAGATCCTACAGTGTTGATCCTTCATGCGTCCTCACTCTTGAAAATGTATTCAGAGCTGCAGAATTTACCGGGTTTGCTTCCCCCTCACCTGCACTCTGCTTCCCTTCTTCAGATGTGCAGTGTCACACAGTCTTTGCACTCAGCAGGAGAGCTGTTTCCTCCTCTCTGTCTTTAAAGCTGTGCTTCTGCAGCAGCTCTCCTCTGATCTCTGATCAGATTGGGTCGGCTTTGCTTCCCCTTTTATCGTCTGTTTGTGAATTTGTGTGTAACTGGGTTGTAGTATGTGGCAGTGTTGCTTTTTCTCCTCTGGTGCATGCAGGGCTGTTTGTTTATGGAGCCTGTTTATATGGTGCCAGTGTATTCTATACAAATCAGAGCTGATATGGTAAGGACTGCAACGAATTGTCCTTGTACATGAAGGAGTGTGTGTTATTCTCAGTGTGTGTAAATCAGTAAATCTGTGTTTGTGTGCATTTGTGTTCATGTAGAGACACAGATAAACAGCCTGTTTTACCCAGTGTGTGTTAGACAGCCAGTGATGGGACTGTGAGACAAACCGAGCCAGTGACACAGCTGAGGCTGCACCTCTAACACCATCTGCAGCTTATGTTGTCGTCTAAAATGGGAATAAGACAGTTTGCTATCAGTCTGCTATCAGTCTAAGACTGAATGGCAAGTTTGCAATAACATGCAATCAGTTTGTGATACCACTACGGCTGCCACAAACGATTATTTTGATAGTCGACTAATCAGATCATCATCCATTGGACGTAAAACTACAGCTTATTGCACCAGCAGCATCTGCTCTTATATAACTATCATTAGCTTACAGCTTTAAGTGTTTCAGGTCTGTGCTAACTAAAAATAAAGACAAGATGATAGTTTATCAAATTTTAATGACATTTGCAGATTGTTTCGGTGAAGTTTAATAAACTCCTTGCTATCTAAAATATAACAGGACACCGGAGTAAATTCTCCAGCATCTCACACTTCTGATAATCAGCTGTCTGCTTGCCGTTTATTCAGCTGTGTAAAAACTTTAACTTTAATCTCAGCCAAACTGATTTACTCAGGAACAAATAAAACACTGAAAAAAGCCAAACAACATTTTTAAGTTATCTAAGTGACTTATATATATTTAACCCGAGTAGCGAAAGACGGCGGTGGGTTTGAAAACGATTTGCCGGGAGTCGGTGTTCTCACGGCTCTAGTTAGCCTAGCCCCCGGCTAGCTATCGAGCTAGTGGGTAACAGACGTCTCCGAAAACGTCGGAGCGCTTTTGAAAATATGCGGTGTCCTGATAAACTGAGCAGATATTTGAGGTTTACACAGCTACATTCTCGCCTGAAAATATGTTAAACGTTTATTTTGTGACCCAGAAAGAATAATAAGAGTAATATTAAAACTAGCAGCTGCTGCCATTGTTGGAAACGCAGCAGGGTCGCGCTATGAATTCTGGGACACAGTTTCTTCTTCTTCGGGGTTTAACGGCAGCTGGCATCCTTGTACATGCAGTGCTGCCATCTTCTGTTTCAGTCCGTTATTACACTCTTAAATCCTGCTACTTATTCCTGCGTCTTTCAGGATCTTACAAAGCTTCAAACGACGCGTCGACTATTAAATTAGTCGTCGACGATTTTGATAGTCGACATAATCGTGACTAGTCGACTAATCGTGGCAGCCCTAGATACCAGAGGATCAAGTGTGGCTAATCTGCTGCTGTCCACCTACAATTTACCTGCTTACATTCAGAGATCAGCCAGAACTTCATAGATTTGACACAGAAACAAACCTTCCTCACATGGTGACATAGTTGCTGCAGGAAACAATCTGACTGCAGAATAACACAAGCACCTGGCAACCGTGTTTGTACAGGACTATATCCAGAATGCAACCAGCGACTGAGTCCAGTCTCCTACTGCAAACAGACACTTTGCCAATGACTCACACTCATCAGCACTGATTGACTCGGGCTGATTTCACCATGTTGGCAACCTGTCTGTCTGCTAAAACCTTCTGTCTGACAGTGACGACGGTCAGTCTGAAGGCTGGTGGTCCTCCCACCAGGTGAGCTGTGCAATCAGCTTGTGGTCACACAAGCTGCAGGTGTTGCACGCTCAGCCTCTGGGAAACCAGCTGGTTCCTCACAATCAGCCGCTCAGTGTGAAAAAATCCAGTTTAATCACTGGGCAACAAGTTAGGAGGAGGCTGCTGTCCTGTTTTACTCTACTGGCACTGAGTCAATAAATAATGGTTAAAACATAAATAGCCGATCATCATCATCATCATCACACTGAGCACAGACCTCGTGCATGTTTTTATTATGAACAGTCTCCTCTGTCCTCGTGTCTGCAGCTGCTTATAGGGTTTGAGAGCGGGACGATCGTGCAGTGGGACCTCCGGGGCAAGAAGGCTGACTTCAGGATCTACTACGATGAGGTGAGTTTGATAGGTGAAGCCTTTCTGTCTGCCCTCTTTCTACGTCTGCTGTGGCCTCTGTGTTTGTTTGTTTAATAATCAAACTGTAGTTTCATTTTAGCTGTCTCTGTGCGGATGCCTGATTATAGCAGCAGGAGGCAGGATATGTACAAGAATCTGGCAAAATTGAGAGGAATGAAGAACAAATTGCTTTAAAAACAAATTGGAAATGAGTCCCAGAGGGGGGTGCACGAGTGGGAACGTTCAGCTTGTTTATGACATCAAAGCCCTGCAGAGACATGTCGAGTTTTTCTTTTTTACATACAGACCTGAATAAAAACATGTGACACTGAAGTGTTACAGGTTCTTCAGGTGAAACAGGAAGTGCTTCAACATTGACTCTCAGCGCTCTCTTCAAGTTACCCTCGCTGACCAAAGTCGAGTGCACTTTTCATCTCAGAGCGGCAGCAACTTTTCTCATTTTTAACAAGGTGTTTGTTATGAAAAGCTGCCTGCCAAACCAATTACTGCTCTTTGAAGAAGCAGTCATTAGAGGACCCGGGAACGCTCACGCCGGTCCGGGCAGCCTCGGGCAGCTTGCACAGCACTGTCAGCTGGAACAGACGACAACGCTGGCACCCAGAGACCAGCAGAGCGTAAACGCGTCATGTCAGACAGGTGTGTTAGGTTACACGGTCTGTACTCAGCCAAAGGTGCTGCAGCTTTCAGCATCCAGGGAGAAAACGTTTCATCACAGTGCACGCTGAAAAGTTACACACAAAACTATATTTTCATGTAATATTCAAACGTCTTTCATTAACAGGTCATTAACTCGTGTGTCTTCAAACATACGCACCATCAGCACATCTGCTGCCACCTCTTACGTCCTCCTTCTCCTGTGAACAGTAACACTCACGCTCATGAGCTTCCTTTGTGGATCTGAATGTGATTTAAAGGACAAAGAAAAGTACGAACTTTAAGCTGTCAGCTCTTCATATGCACCAAAAATAATACTGACATTTGGTTTTGCTCTGTATTTACACCCAGTCCTACTGCGCCTCCGTGTCTCTGTGGTTAAATGCACTTTTTCTTCTATAACACTTCATAAACTCCTATCTGGTGTGAAAGGACCGGCTATCGATCTCCATCGCTGGCTGCCTTTTCTAAAGCCTCGTTCCAGCATCGAGTCGCTGAAAGGTTATTATAGATGTTTCTCCGTCTGATGACGAGGGGAAAAACGCAGCCTACACCCGGCTTTAAACATTTTCTGCTGCCATCTGAGAAAATTCAGTTTACTGTGATTACCACAATAACGACCACGTTAGGACTGATGAGTGCACAGCTCTAACAAAAGCCTCCTGAATAAGCTTCAGTGTGCGAATGAGAAAAGGTTAATTTGGAACAATGTCAGGCCAAACTTCTCCAGGATTATCCAGACTGTTTTTCTGCTGCTGACGCTCCCCGGGGCCGTGACCTCTGTGGCTTTGACATGAATAACTGTGAATAATGTTTTTAAGAAGCTAAAGATTACCCAGCGAGGTCTTCTGAAGAACAGCGGCAGACGTGCTGAGCGCAGGGCGATACCAGGAAAATGACTTTGCTGTTTTGGCTTGCGTGACGTTTTTTACCTGTACAGCTAAGGTGTGGTAGCTGTGGCATCACTGAGTAGAATCACATGCGTATCACCGTGTGTCGCATGCTGCAGAAGCGTTTTTGCTCTTCTGTGTGGACACCAAAGCTGTCAGATGAACATCATTGTTGTGTTTTTAATAGGCGTGTGTTTGATAGAGCTCCACGGGGAAAATGTGGTCTGCCTTTGTATGAAACAATCTTGTCAGTTGTATTTTTCTCCATTGTATTTGGACAAAAGTGTCAATTACCATCCGCAGAGAGAAGCACTTTGTTATGTGCTCACCAGTTTTGAAGGATTATTATCTTCGTCCTTTGTCTCATATTTCATTTGAAGCGTAGCAGGGCACTGACACTACGTGAGGACGGATTCAACAACGATACCAACGAGGTTTTATTCCAGATCTGGCCTAAAGCTAAATGCTGTAAGAATCAGTGTCGTGTGTCATCACGTTTCACTTCTGAATCGGCTTAATTTCTCCTGTGTGCAGTTTCGGTTTGGCTGTTCGGTAGGTTGTTACAGTTCATTTGAACTTGCTTCAGTTCTTCGGTGGACTTTGGTCACAGCCGCTCGCCGAGCTCGGCGTCGTGTGGGGTCTGCTGCAGGACTCCTGGTTCTTCTTCCTCAATCAGGCTTCTTTCTCATGGCACTGCATGACACAATGATTCACTTGAAGTGCTTTATGACTTTGAGAGAAACACTGACTCTGTGTGATCGGTGCAGGCCATCCACTCTGTCAGCTGGCATCACGAAGGGAAGCAGTTCATGTGCAGTCACTCGGACGGCAGCCTGACGCTGTGGAACCTCAGAAACACCACCAAGCCATTCCAGGTCACCTTCCCTCACGGTGAGACACACACACTCTCATAATCCCAGAGACAAATCCTGGGTCTATACTCTTTGTATAGATCTGAATATCATAGACTGTAAACAAACCTCTGTGGACCATATGCTGTCATCTGATTTGCCGAGCAGCTCGTGGTTATGTCTTTGCTTTTCTCAGTGTAACCAGCCACCGTTCAGTCTCATTCACCAACATTCATGTTCGGGCACATTTAGGGTAGACTGTGCTGTATCCAGCAGTGATTGTCGTATGTGCGGTGTTTCGCTGCTGCTTCGTTTTGATTTCCACACTCGGTGAAATCTGCCTCCTCTTCTGCCGTGTCTCCCTACGGCTTCCTCTCATGCAGGGCCGACCGAACTCGTCAGATTTGTGTTTTCTTGCTGTGAGCTGTAATCTCAGGCAAAATCACAAAGCAAAAAGCAGGCAGGATGTGGCTGACGGGGAGGGGGGCACAGCTGAATTCCAGCAGATCGTTTATTTGTCAGATATTTAGTGTCACTCAGGGCGAAAACGGGAGGAAGAGGAAAGGGAGGCATGAAAATGAGTAGAGGTCAACTAAGAACATAAAGCTGAAGAAGAGTAAACAGTTAAAATGTTATTTGCTGAGAATGATATAGTCGGACATTTTTAGTTATAAATAAATGAGTTAAAAACTGTGAGGGTTTAAAATTCAGCATTTAAACGGCTCGACTGCAGCACCTCGGGCTTTTAGTAGCAGGCTAGGTGAGGGGAAGGAGTGCTAACTGAGCTAATGCTAGCTAACGTGACTAACATGGTGTGTCCATAGTCTGAGTGTGTGGTAAGCAACAAACTTCACTGAGCTCACAGCAGAGCAGCATCTTAGTTATCAAAGAATTGGATTAAATATACTCCAAAATGCTCCGATATCACAAACATGTCCAGCTGAGTGATTTGAAATAGCTCAAAACTAGCAGAGCGCTATTAGCTTAGTTAGCACCTATCTGTGACCTCTGTAAGGAAACGTACTTTACTTCCAGAAATCAAAACCAGTTTGATTTTATTATGTGTTTGTTTTCCTTCAATATGACAATAAGTTACTAATAATTTGTAATGCATTACTTATTACTTGTTACTTTCCTTAGAGGTAATGGAGTATGTTACTTAATTACCCATCAGAGAACTTGTTACTTTCATGTTAATATGACCTGAAATTCATTATCTCATAATTATCAATTAACTCTGTAAACCCAAGGCTACGTTCCCACACACTGACACAAATTCCTAATGAGGACACGTCTTTCTTTTAGGTTTTGCGTTTGAACACAAACTGACAACAAAGAAAGTTAAAAAGCAGCCGCTGGCTTCTTCTAGGCTAGATTAGCATTAGCATGCTGCCTATGCAGATCCATACAAAGACTCTGAATGACTCTGATTCAGTATTTAGTTTGAACATCTTTTAAATGTCAGAATCGACTTCTTGTAGAGAATTATGGATGTTTGTCTTCTTCCAAGCATGAAACTGCTGTTCATGTCTGAACCTGAACATGTCACACTGCCCCTCTAACACTCCAGGCTAACCTCTGCATACCTGTTATCACTCGCCATTGTTCCCTCTGTCACACAGCTGAGTCGACTTCGTCACAGTCGGGCAAAAATCCATCATCTTGTTATTTATTTATAAAATTTACTGCTGAAGCTGCCAAATATGCTCACAAATTTTAGCTTATTTAAATTAGCGATTAGCACAGTGCTCTAAATACTTAACCACAGATGTTACATGTGTGTTTGGCTTTCCATCATTTACTTACCTGCTGAGCTGTTGCTTGATGCAGAGCTCGGTGACGACTGGGGCTTTCTTTGCCTTTTGTGTTTCTCAGCTACAACCGTGTCAGTGACATGTAGGTAATGAGCATTGTACCTGGATAGGTGAGCATAGTTCAGAAACCATCCGTCCATTTTCTTAACGGTGTATCCAATTAAAAGAGCCGGTCTCAGCAGGCCAGGCTGTTGCAGAGCACCATTAACCAGAAGTTTTAGTTTTTTGGCCAGCGTAGTGTTTTAACTAAACTATCAGAAGTTTCTCACTTTTTACAGCCAACACTTTGTCTGTTTTAAGCACAATGTCCTGTACATAAGGGCACCAAAATGACCTTTTTATAGCCACTTTTCATAATGATGATGTGAAGAAATCTGCGACAGGACGAGTTGTTCTCAGAGAATCCAGGTACACTTAAAATGATTCCTTTTATTGCGTTCAATAAAAGATGCTGCAGCAGAGCTCCAACAGTTTAGAAATGATGTTTCTTTCATTTGTTCAGAAAGTGCTGAGCCTTTGTTGAAAGGTAGAATTCAAGGTTTCACTGCCTCCAAGCTAGGAGACCTTCTCTTCAAAGATGTTAATATGAGAAGCATGAATTACTCCCTTTAATACGCTAACTCTGATAATGGACTGTCATTCAGTGAAGAGAGGACCCGGAAACACAGCAAACACACAAAACTCCAGTTGGAAATGAGACTAAATTTGATCCTTCAAGGGGGTTCCTGTGGCGCACTATGTCCTGATTATGCTCACATTGTGTAACATTATGAACACAGTGTAGAGCCGTGCATTGGTCACTTTGACAAAGCAGCAGGTAGCAACTCCAAATAGCTTAAAAGAGGGAAAAACATGAACGTAACAACAGGTGAACAACAGCTTTTCTTCTTACATCTTCTCATCTTATTATGAAACTATAATTTAATCTGTACATGTTGCTCTTCCTTTGCTTTTTCCTCTGATGCAGGAAAGATACAGAAGGATGCGAGGAAGGAGTCGTGCAAACCTATTCTCAAAGTGGAATACAAGACCTGCAGGAACAGGTGCGTGTGTCTTAAACATTTCATTTTCTGATTGCACAGACGTAGCGCTGCATTTTTTTTTATTGATATTAACCTCTGAGATGAGATTTAAAGATTTCTTTTGAGTCCTCACAGGAACAAACAACCGTTGTGTATGCGTCACTTATTTCATCGATCACTGGCGTTTAATTCGATTTGAAACAAGAGCGTGTTTCATTTTACTTGTTACTCATTCTTTCTTTCTGCTTTGTCGAGGTGAGCATCTCTAAATCCCTTCTCTTCCTTCACAACAGTGAGCCTTTTGTTATCTTCTCTGGGGGTCTTTCATATGACAAGGCGGGACGACGGCCGGCACTGACGATCATGCACGGCAAGGCCATCACTGTGCTGGAGATGGATTACCCCATAGTAGAGTTCATGGTGCTGTGCGAGACTCCTTACAACAACGGTAAGGGCGTACCGATTCAATTATAAGAGCTGTGTCCCTCTTTGTGGTCTCGCTTCAGTGAGTTTGAAGCCTTTCAGAGAAATGTGGTTTTCAGCCACGGGGGGTTTTTCACCCGCTCGGTGCCATTGGCTTCTCCTGTAATCCTGTGATAATGTGGAAATCACAAGAGCACGCTTCCTTAAAACTCACCAAGTGTTACCACCGACTGACGTTGAGTCATTTTTATATGAATTTCAGCTGATTTTAAATTTGCATCCCTCCTTGATGTTGTCGTGGTAACTAGCATTACCTCTCCATCTTTCTGTTTGCATTCGGCCTTCACAGAGGTCCAGGAGCCTTACGCTGTGGTCGTGCTTCTGGAGAAAGACTTAATCGTGGTGGATCTAACACAGAGCAAGTACGTCACTGTGAAACATACAGTTAGACATCATATATCAGAATCACACCATCGCGTGTGCAAGAATATCACTCAGAGAGTGGAACTGTTCTTACATTCAGCAACAAAGTGAAAGCAGCTGTAGTTCAGAGAGATATCAGCATATAATGCTGTATGACCATAAGCATATGTGGACTATCCTAATTTGAGGACTTTTGTGGATTAATTGTATCGATCTATCAGAAAGTTGCTCTCAGCAGCTCAGTGTCTTGAAGGGAAACAGTTCAGTGCTTTTGTTGTGATTTCAGAGGTCTGATAAGATCCTATGTAAAAACTGCCAAAGATGTTATCCTTTGAACAAGCACAGCTCAATGTTCTGTGGGTAGATTTAACTCGCTATCATTGTTATAAAAGATTGAAGCTGGACGCGGCGATGATGTCCTGACAGATTAACACCCAAGGCTAGGCTAGGCATACATTTGAGGAGTAGCAAAACGCTCGGGTATAAATGAAGTTTCCTGGTTAATTAGGTTAGCTAATTACAGCTGTTAGATATAAATGTCTCCTGATAACACCTAAAGTAGTTTAAACATGTCCAGATTGTCTTTGAGCTCATTGATTACGAGCTAATTGTGTTTAAATTGTTCATTATAAGTAAATCAGGTTAATTGTATTTAAATGCTTCATTATAAGTAAGGAGTGGCATGAATTTGGAGCTCTGCAGAAACACCCCTCTACATCTTTTAGTGACACTTTAATGTGTGCATAGAAGAACCAGTCGCTCTTATCTTACTGTATCGGCAATAAAGCAGATGAAGCTAGAGTCATTGGCACATTCAATTTTTATTGCTTAGAGAACAGATAAAGAATCCAGACCTTTGAACGTGTCCACATCCTGTGGGCTCCATGGGAGGACCAACTGGAATTATTCTTTTCGATTAGCTGAGGAATAATTCTGAATAGCTTCATGTTCATAGGTCTACTATATACCACGTTGTGTACTTGCCTGTTGCAGCTACCCCGTCTTTGAGAACCCGTATCCCATGGACATCCATGAGTCGCCAGTGACCTGCACGGCCTATTTCGCAGACTGTCCACCAGACATCATCCCCATCCTCTACTCCATAGGAGCGAAACACAAGAAGACTGGCTACAGCCAGAAGGTAAAGGAGGGGAAGAGTACGGCCTTTGCTGTGCAGATCCATGTTGGGAGGATTTTCTTGTGTTACGTAATCCTCGCATACCGTATTTTCAGACCATAAGGTGCATTAAGCGAAACAAAACAGTCAAATAAGTCAAACTTTACTCAGGTCATTCTTGCTTCCTCCACTTCTGTACCATTGATTCATTACTGTTGAATTCTCTGGCAGCGGCTCTATTCCCATGTTGTAGCAGTATATGAATGACTAACCTCGTATTGTGGATGGATTATCTCAGTTGTTCTCCTGACTGAAGTTTGGTCCGTTTACAGCATCCTGCCATGCGATTGCATTTGTTTCTAACCATCAGGAACCCTCATGTTAACTTTTATCGAGTGGAAAAAAGTTAGCGTTCATCCTCCAGCTTCACTGTGTTTATGCTATGCTAACATAGCTGTGTCGCTAGCGGTCACGTAGCACATCATTATATAGCAGCTAGCCCAACTTCAGTAACCCTACAAACGTCACTGCTGTTTAGTTTTCTGTCTTCATTTATGTTGGAAGTGATAGCAGAGCTGTACGTTTGATTTTTTCAGAAATCTCTCAGTCAGGACATGCTATATCATGTTTAGCTGGAAGCTAGCGAGCTAACTTCCTGCTAACTTCTAACTCCGTTAAATGTAATAAATCCTGTTTTCATGGATGCCTGGATGTTAAACTTAATTGTTACACCTGGTAAAGCAGCAACACTGATCATTTTATTAAAGGTTAAAGAATTTAGACAGTTTTTAAACTCTCAGTGATGCTGCAGTGTTCGTTTGAATTTGGGACCTGAAAATGACGGAGTTTAGGACCCAGATTCCTCCGTGAGGCTCCTGACTACAGTAGCTGTAATGCTCCAACAATCCATCACGTGGTGGCTTCGTAGCTTAGCAAAGTCGCACTAAAACATTTTTGACAGATTTTTGAGCGCCGTGTAGCACATAAAATCGGTTCAAGGTCAGTGAGCACGATCAGAATTCATCATTTGAAAAAATTAAAGGATTTTAAGTGCGCCTTATAGTGCGGAAAATACAATGCTAGAACTGATGTATAAATATGTATAGAGTTGTGTGTCTGCGCTTCGGTTCTTTGGTATATCCTGGTCTCTGAAGGGAGTTTTATTCATAATTTGTCATGTAAAATCATCTTTCTAAAATAATTGCTGTTGAACTTTTTAAATTATAGGTAATCATTAGCACACGTATCACTTTTAATCAATTCGGTTTTGTATTTGAGGATGACAGCCTGTGTTTTAGAACAAAAGGAAAAGCGAGGGTACAATGGGACAGAAAGAAAGGGTAATGTGCCCGGGTGTTTAAAATAATCAGTGCTGCTGTGATTATTTTGTCAGGAGTGGCCAATCAGTGGAGGGACGTGGACATTAGGCTCCCACACTTATCCAGAGATCATCATCACAGGGTGAGTTAGAAATGCTGACAGGAATACTGATGACCCCTCTTTAACACCACCCGTCACATTTAAAAGGACAGTTGAGCCGTGTCTCACGCCACGGTGACAGAACCACCGACTGTGGGTTTTTCTACATTTATAGCGCTGCGTAGATTTGATTTCTATCTGTGCCAGCCCCAGCAGAGAGCAGGCCCCCTTTGTCAGAGATGTTAACCTGCTCTGAAGCTTGCTCGCTGGGTGGCGTTTGCTTCTGGGTAACACTCACAGATATCAGTGGCAGTCCGGCCCTTTGAGGTCGACGTGGAGACGTTTCACTGCTGAAAGCACAGCGTGAAACACCTAAAAATGCTCAAGTTCTCACGAAGTAGGAACCCAGCTTCACTTTGTAGCTCTGTGAGCCACAAGATGGGTGAGCTGCAGATTCATGAACAGTGTGATGTTTTAAAAATGCAGCGATAAATTTACTGAGGTAATAATCATTAACACGACTAATTAGACTAAAAGTGAGTGGGAAGGTTGGAAGTTTTACTTGTTGTCATTAATTTCATACTAAATACATTTTTTTTTCAGGCATGCTGACGGATCGATTAAGTTTTGGGACGCATCTGCAAGTAAGTCCTGTGCACCAAGCTTTCCTGCATTCTCATTGCAGCGATGCATTTGTTCCACAGCACAGTTAATCAATCACCTGGGTGATATCATTAATTGCTTAATGACATAATCTAAGAGTTCAGACTAATCATACTCACCCACAGCTAACATACTAGCTTCAGATCAGCTGATCTCAGCTCTATGCCTCATCACATGATAGATCAGCTGAGAGCATTTCGTACATCTATTTAGCAAAGTTCATATGATATAAACCGATCAGACGTAACATCAGACATGGACCATGGAGCAATGGAAAAAGGTGGGTTGGTCTGATGAATCAGATAGGTGGACGGATTATTGTGCGTCGCTTACATGGAGAACCACAGGCGAGCCAACGGGGACAGTTGCTTTGAGCGATGCTCTGCTGGGAAACTGTTACGTCCCCCCCCCACCACGGCGGGGGCAAAGGCAGGCAGGGGACAGCAACACTGGACAACCACAATCAATGAAGGAGGAAGACCACAGAGCAGTTAGGTATCAGGCAGAATTTAATGGTTGGACAGTCAATCTTAACAACAGAGAAAAGGTGGGGGGGAGGAGGACTGGGCGGTTGATCCAAATCAAAGAAAGTAATAAAACAAAAAGAGGTCGGTAGCTTCCAGGGCCTAGCCTAACTGAAAGAAAAATGCAAAACAAAAGGCCTACCTAGCTACTCGATAAAAGTCAGTGAAAACATACAAGGGTGGCATCAACCGCATAACCTAGTGTGACTAACAGAGTAAAATCTACAACCAGTGTACAGGGTACCCCAGCTTACCTGTCCAGCCTCCCACCACACACAACATAAAGAAGCCTGTTCGCAAATGTTTGTCAAAGCAGAAGCCAGCAGCCCCAGCTGGCCAGGGAGCGGCTCATATGTAGTGTTCCTTGGAGTGTGATTGGCCAACTGAGCCCAGACCAGCCAATAGACACCTGCCAATCAACTTCGAACTGGCCAATCAGAGGAGGCCTGACGCCTGAAAGATAAATAGAACACAAAACAGAGCACAAAAGCAAAGCCACGCCCCTTGGCACGTAACAGAAACCCTGGGTCCTGCATCCATGTGGATGTTACTTTGAGACGTACCATCTATCCAAGCATTGTTCCACATCATCTACACCCATGCATGGAGAAGGTGCTCCCCGATGGCTGTGGTCTCTCTCAGCAGGATAATGCACTGAAAACAGAAATGGTTGAGGAACTATTTGAGGAGCACAACAACCAGTTTGAGGAGTTGACTTGACCTCCAGATTCCCCAGATCTCAATCCAGTCGAGCATCTGTGGGACTTTGGTGCAGATACCACAGCACACCTTCAGGGTGTAGTGGAGTCCATGTCCTGACGGCTCAGGGTGAATGGCACAGTATTAGGCAGGTGCTGAAGATGTTGTGGCTGGTCGGGCGACCGTGGCTCAGGGGGTTGGGAATCGCATCTGTAACCGGAAGATCGCCGGTTCGATCCCTGGGCTCTCTGTCCTGGTCGTTGTGTCCTTGGGCAAGACACTTTACCCTACTTGCCTACTGGTGTTGGCCAGAGGGGCCGATGGCGCGATATGGCAGCCTCGCTTCTGTCAGTCTGCCCCAGGGCAGCTGTGGCTACAACTGTAGCTGCTTCCACCAGTGTATGAATGTGAGAGTGAATGAATAGTGGTGTTGTAAAGCGCTTTGGGTGCCTTGAAAAGCGCTATATAAATCCAATCTATTATTATTCATATTTATTTTAGTAGATGATTGTCAGATGTGCTGCCATTGAAGCCTGCTGTGTTCTGTGTGGTCGTCCCACCACACTGATCCAGACAGAAATGAGTCCAGGTGGAAATAACAGTCGTCTTTTGACTATTTTAGTCGTGACTCAGAGTGTTTGACCTCAGTATGTTTGTAATAGCTCAACACGGCTCGTACGATCCCCGCCATCTTTGATCAGCACACGCTTCCAGGTTTACTGTGTGCACACGTTTCTACTACTGCAGCTTTATTAAAGGTGCAGCATCTGTTTATGTGCTTTAAATGGAAAATAAATCAGAAGGCTGTGGTGCAAACCAGTCTCCTCTCAGCCAAACACATTACTGGTCTAATGCATTTGTACAGCTGTGCCAATTGCAGCAGTACGGGGTGAAAATGCCTCGCCAAGTGGAGACGAGACATTTGTGCAAAGTGCATAAAATTTAAAAGGTGAAGAATATGAAGATGTAACATGGCAAACTGCATAAAGCTGTCGGGATATCACCACGTGCACATGGCCGTTTACTTCACGCTTTGCACTGTGCTTTAACTGAGATGTCTCTGTGCAGTCACGCTGCAGATGTTGTACAAGATGAAGACCTCCAAAGTGTTCGAGAAGCCAAAGCCAGGCGAGGGCCGCGCCGCCGAGCTGGTGGAAGAAGACCCGTTTGCTATTCAGATGGTCAGCTGGTGCCCTCAGAGTCGCATGTTCTGCGTGGTCGGCATCTCAGCTCACATCATCCTCTATCGTTTCAGCAAATATGATGCCAACACTCAGATAGTGGTGAGTGCTTAAAGTGGTCAGGTGATGTACGGAGACTGAAGGTGAAGCCCACTCTTGATGTGATACGTTCCCTGAGTCTCCTCTCATGTTTCAGTCTCTAGAGGTGCGTCTGCAGTGTGACTCGGACGACGTCATCTCCCCATCAGAGAATGAAAACAATCCCAGCTTCTCAGAGCCCGGCTCCCACTCGCCCCAACCGCACCACCAACACCAACACCCAGCCAGCCCAGGCAGCAGGACACCAGAGGGCATCAAAGACAGCATCCCCTGCCTCAAGTAAGATAACAGTCCTCCGTCTCTGCAGCACAGTAGACTTCAAGTACAGTCAAGTCAAGAAAAGCACTCTGGTGGTGTATGATGGTCTAATGACTTGCTGAGGCACGTTACAGTGCATGCCAGTGTTGTGTATTTAAGCTCTGCCAGGTGTTTGAGGGTAAATTGGACCGTTACTCCTCATTCCAACATCATTCCTCATTAGCTGTTGATAAAAGCTGCTCATCTGTTTCAGAGTGAAGGACCGGGCGGTTCGGGTTCCTCCTGGCTACCAGTCAGAGTTGGTCATCCAGCTCCTCTGGGTAGATGGTGAACCTCCACAGCAGATCACCAGCCTGGACATCAACTCAGCCTACGGCCTGTGAGTTTCAGAGGCATAACCCTCTGTCCTGAGCAGCTCTGTGTCTGTCTATGAGTCTAAATTAGGAACATTTAGCAAACAGTAGGCTTGTATTATCCATTTCCATATGTTTGGTCGTCACCAATAAAAACAGCATCAGTGCACAATACAAGCATGGCTGTGAAGGGTGCAGGGAACCAAACCTGCACAGACCGAGGACATTTGACTCTCATTTCCTGAAAAGAGCCAGATTATAAACAGCAACAGTGATGCAGCAGGAGAAGAACATGCATGTGGCAGTAAGAGGGCTCGGCTGTACACAGATGTGTTTGTAGTTGCTCTTGGTCTGTGTATATGCGCTTTGTGCAGCATTGAGTTGGTCTTTGCAGTATTTGTACTGTATCATACTGTGAGGCTGGCGGGAGGATGTAAATATGATAATGGGCCATGTGTGAGCTTTGTAATTTTGCTGTTACTGCCAGCAGTTAATGTAACGTGACCAAATTATTTAAATGTGTTCTCGAGCTTTCTTGACAAATGTAACACCTGCGAGCCAAGCTGAGAAAAACACCATATGTCCTGTGACCGTAGCCATAACAGCGGATAGAGCACGCAGTGACGAGCGGCAACGAACACGAGCACATCGTCTTCTTCTACCTGCTTTTGTTATTTTAAAGTAACTTACTGGATGTGGACTAACAAGTCGAACGGGAGCTGCATGACTTCCTGAGCTCGCAGGGTTTGAGACCACTTGTCTGGCTTTGCTGTGAATAGAAGCTTTATGGGCAGAAACCAATAAGTTTTCAGAAAAGCTCTCTGCGGGTCGAGGCAGTCGCACCATTTGAATCTCTGCTCTGAAGCTTTTCATATCTTAAGTGACATTGCAGCAATTGATTATCTGGCTTTTTGATGCCTTTCTCACATACTGAGCAGAACATGCACACACACAGACACAGTCCTCCTTTAGCTGCACTAATATAAAAACATTCCTGAGATTATTGGTGAGAGCAGAATAACATCAGGATGTCAGAGAGACGTGCTCAGCACAGCGGCCTGCTTTCCTGCTGATGTCACAATAAGGACTCAGCTCTGTCTCCTCTGGGTTCAAGCTTAAAGCCCGATCCACGTGTGGTTCCCAGAAACGTATCGTCCAGCTGCAGCTGCTGGGAATGTGTTGTCCAGGCCAGATGTTTATAAGTTAATGAGGCTTTTTAACAGTGATTGTTCCAAATGGTTTCCACGGGCCGGCTGTGCTCCCATTGGACATTTTTACTCCTTGTAGCTCAGGTCAGTGAAAGTGTGGTGTGCTCACAATATTGTAGCATATGCAGTGTCGGGAAGGTTAGTTTTCAAATGTATTCCACGTAAACCTGTGACACAAAGATCACCAAACTCAGACCACCACAGACTGTTTTCCTTCACAGTGATGAAGGAAAACGCTGGGCTGGCATGTAAAAGGGCATTTATTCCCTCAGGACCTGAAGCTCCATAAAGCACCCCCCCGACAGCCAAACCCACCTGTTCTCTGATTGGATAGTTAAATTTGTGATTGACGTGACATTGGCCAATCAGATGAAAGGAAGAAAAATAGGGTCAAAATTCGTACTTGTAACTTGAAACCTGAGTGCAGAGTTTCACACGTATTTTTCCACACGCAAATCTGCTTTTACACATACAAAACTGATTTACAAGTGCAAAATATTTATGACCACAATTTGAGCCCATATGATGCATGGCAGGTGACGATCAGTCATGTGGGAATTCTGGGAAGTATTAGAAACATGGAATAAAAGCAGACTGTTTAATTCATGCTTAATTTGACAGCGTTTTTCATGTTAGTTGGCACAACTCTAATGTCTGTGTGTGTGTGTGTGTGTGTGTGTGTGTGTGTGTGTGTGCGTGCGTATGTGCTTGTTTCTTCCCTCCTGACGTTGTGTTCGTGTCCAGCCTGGCATTCGGGAATTGTTACGGCCTGGCGGTGGTGGACTACTTGCAAAAAACTGTCATATTATGTATGTCAACACTGGATCTGTACGGAAGCACCGACCCCTACCAGCGCCTTACCCGTTCCCCCCGCAGGAACAGGCAGTCCACCTCAGGTAACACACACACACACACACACACACACACACACACACACACACACCTGATACTCAGTGTGCAACATAATCACGACATCCAGACACTGAATCTGATCTTTTCTCTGCTCCTCTGTCTTCTTCTCTTTCTGTCTCTTCTGATCTAGTGCGTGACAAATATGACAGTTTCAATATATTCCTTCAATATTTAATCAATCATTACTGTTAATCAATCATTACTGTTAATCAATCATTACTGTTAATCAATCATTACTGTTCAGGTGCTGTTAACAGTGATGGGAAGTAGAGCATATGTAAGGTAGTATGCACTACTCAGCCCTGACTCTTAGTTTTCATAATATTTTACATTCAGTTACATTATAATTACAAAGTACTTTTATTATTATATAATATATATTAATTGAATATATAAATATCTATTTTAATTTAAAAACACGCCTCTGCCTGCTGTTGTTTTCTAATGTGTTTCTTTACAAACTGCATTCTTATTATTTTAGAAACAAAGTTTAACTTCCAAAACTTTTAATGTGAAAACTCTTGGAAACAAAATGTATTAAAGTGGATTTTCTGAAATGATTTCAGGGATTTGACGTATCGAGCCTTTGTTTGTAATGCAGGTGTTTAGTGTGTAATGTAATAACGTCCCACTTTGAACGGGATGGTTCTGCAGTGACCTCGAGAGCTTAATGGACTGAAAATACAAACCAGCTGAAATAAAAACATCTTTAATAAACTGACGCTTTAGGCACAGCATTAAAAACTAGTGAGAATAAGTGGTGGTGTTTAAACTCCTCTCAGCTGACTGGAAACAAAAAATGTGACATTAGCCTCGCAGTTAGCACATCGTTAGCATTCACGTTGATGAAGATGAAGTTCGGACAAAACCGTCAGAGTGCGGAAACGAGAGCAGACACAGTAACATCAGACTATCTGTAACACGACGACGGCCTGGATCTTCTGTCCTTCCTCTCTGTCTGTCACACACAAGCACACACCTGCCCATCTCTGCCTGTCATAGAGCTGCACTGTGACATGAAGTGCATGTTAACAGGTTGCGTGTCATTCCACATGGGCATCATATGCATGTTGTCATTTGATTTCTCAGTCTGTTGTTTTTAGACCTGTAAGAGCCACACAGGTGTTTCTGATCCCTCCTCCTTTTCTCTGATCTCGTCCGCTGACGGCCTCTGAAGCATCTTAATTATATTTAACGCGCTTGATATTCAGACCCACCGTTTAGGAATCACTGTGTAAAATAGAGGCCGACTCTTTTTTGGACCAGGCACCAACTCGGTGGTAAATATTTCAGAAGAACTTGCAGCAAGTGCTCGTTTCATTGCGTAATTCCCACAGGTGAGCTGAAAATACTCTGGTGATTTTTTCACATGCTGTTGCACCCTGCACCTTCTGTGTGAGCGCTTTAAAATCAATGTGGAGACAGAAGGGAAAATAGAAGCGGGCAAACATGCCCTTTTCTGTGCCGCGGGTGGTGCTGCGCTGATCTGAGGCACTTACTGTGCTCCGGTTCACACAAGGCTCAACAGCAGACTTGGAGAGCACAGCCAAAAGGCCAGTGCCGGCTGCCCAGTCTGAACACTTCCTGTGCCTCCCACCACATCTTTAGCTGTTGTCATCACACACATGTGTATGAGTGTGAAAGCTTTCAGCCATCAAATGTGGGCATTTACTTCTCAGAATGATGTCACAATGCAGATGATTAAATGACAACCGAGCTCGGTTTCCATGCTGCTGGTAATGACATGTTCCCTGCTGACCCCAGTGACACCAGCAGTTCTGGGTTTGCTGGAGTCGCGGGTATTTCTTGTGCCCTTCCCTGACACGATCTCACTTGCTGCTTGCTCTCACTTTCTTTTCCTCTCTAAGCCTGTGTGTTCTTCTCTCCCCCCCCCGCCTCCTCTCTCTCCCCACCCCACCCTCCTCATCCACCCTTCCCTCTATCCTCATGCATTCCTCTCACTAACGTCCCCTCTTTTCTCATTACTGCCATTCTTCCTTTGCCTCCACCCCACTTACGCTCTTCCGTTCTTTGACCTCTCCTCGCTTTAAACCCCACTCCTCATTTCCACCACTCCTTCCTCCCCCTCCTACTTTGGTGACTCTGTGGCTGCTGGTGTGGGCATGCGGGCCTGCCTGACAGAGTTTTGCATGCGCGGCCTGTCTAACTTTTATTCAGATTCAAAGAAAAGGATCCGTACATCCTATCAGAGTAAGTCGGGCCTTCCCAAAGGCCGGGGGAGTCGGTGTATGTGTGTGGGGGTGTGGGTTGGTGTTTTGATGGATATAGTAGGACATGATGTTTGGTACAGATGATTGCCACAAGAACTGACACAGACTCGAAGCCCAGGACAAACCAAAGACATGACTGGGATGAAGCGAGACGTCACCTGCAGAGCTTTGTCTGTTACAGTCATGTCCAGCAGTCTGTCCTTTGCAGAAGAAGAGACACTTCTTTGAGACAGCAGAGCAAGCGCAGTTATAAATAATGCATTATCCATGCGATGTATATTTTAACTAAAGCCAGTGGGGTTATTGAAGCTAACTGTGTGCTTTTTGTTGACGGTTACAGAGGAAAGTTTAACGACGGCACCTCTCAGTGTCTTCAGCCATTTGTAACGTCAGCATAAACTACCGGCATCAATGTTTGGCAGAACCTTTGACTGAAGACAAATAATTTAAAAAGTCCAAATGTTTTGAGCTGTGACGAGTCTGCGAGGCTGTTAATGAGTCCTTAATGAACGCTGCTTCAAACAGCCCGCGTCTGCAGTCGGGCTTTGAGGGCCGAGTTAGAAATCTCAGTGTTTGTGGCAGTTTTTACAGACGACTCCATGTCGGCTCGTGCTTGCTGCATGTGACTGAATTTGTGTGTGTGCTGTTTGTATGTTCGATATTTATTCCACTTCATCATGAGATTTGCACTACATGCTTTTTGAATTTTAATGCGAGCTGGTAAAAGATGTTAAATCTGACTGTAGTGCAGGTCGCATCAGTAATCAGCCACTCTGCCCATCAAGGCACTTTGAGTCCTGATAAAAAAGCAAAGAGCAAATATTCGAGGCTGACCTCGGGAGGAATGATGTAATGATGAAGCATTGTTGCTAGCTGCACTCTTTCTTTGGGCTTAGCGTGGCTGACTTCTACCAATCAGACGTCTGCTTAATCTGCATGACCGGCTTCAAATAATCTGACACCCTGCGTGTGCTGCTTCTTCTTCCTGTCGGCTGCTGCAGGCCTTACTGAACTCACTGACAACCAGCAGTCGATTGACATGGAGAGGAACAAGTCGCCCACTTCAGGTAACCTGCTTGCACTCTCACACACAGACACGCACCTGCAGCCTCCAATCCTTCATTCCCTGAATGCAAATGTCTTGAGTCTTTGTGGGTGGGATGCTTTGTGTTTAAACTTGAGTTACAGCCTGTGGTCACCTCGTCACCAGAGCGTGGTCACGTGGTGAGAGCGGCACTCTGTTCACTGTTGTTTCAGAGAAGTGCTGGCACTCCTTCAGTGGAGTATACTGGGTTTGTCTCAGCTGGTTGGTCCTTTAGTCTGAAGTCGTGTGGTGACCGTGTTTCCCAGAGGTGAAGAAGAAGGAGCGCTGCACGCTCCATCGGCTCGGTCGTTTCCTTTGACATGTTTGTCTTTCACTAACACTGATACGGCCGACTGCAGTGGAGATGGAGCCTGCATGTTAATGAGCAGCAGTAACATCAGAGTGGTTTAGATTCTCATTTTGTGTCATTGACACTGCATTCTTTTTATTTTAAGTTTTTCTTTGAGTTGTAAATTGGCTGGCATGTTATCATTACTTGTAGCAAATACTCGAGAAGAAAGTTTTCACCTGGACTCCTGTGATAAGGTCAGCCAATCACTGCACCTGGTTAGCTGATCGTCAGCACCTGTCGAAGCCGAGGTTTTAGCACAACACGTCAGACTCTACAGGTCAGCAGGGTAAATGATGGAAGGGCTGCAGGAGAAAGGACGTGGCAGCACAACTTAGGTTTGCAAAGCTGCATGTGAACAACACATTTGGAGAAGACCAAGCATCAAACCAACTGTCAGCCCCGTGGTGGAGGTGAGGATCACCTGCAGTCACTGAGTGGATTATGAACTGCCCGTCCAACCACTAAAGCTTGACTGAAACTGGGTCGTCAACACCGTTAGCACCTACTCGGATCGACTCGCCACGGTGTTTAAGGTTTGTTCACTTGGTCATAGTACCTGCTCAGCTGTCATCAACTGGGATTCGCACGAAGGCGGGACCGAAAAGCAGACTCGGCGCACTCACTGAGAACTATAGACAAGATTTATTTACAGAGGGGTCGGTCAAAAACAGAAGCTCATGAGGGAGGCTGTTCTGAGAAGCTGCGATCAAAGCCGTGGGAGTCTGTACCAGAGGGAGGAACGATTAGTGAACAGGTAAGGGAGCAGGTGAATCAGGACAGGGGTGCAGTCGGCTTACATGCAGGGCCAGGTGGGAGAGTTTTGGGCGGTGGGGGTGTTTCTGTGGGAGAGGCCAGAGAGGGTGAGTGCGAGGGGAGGAATGGTTCCTCGAGTACTTCACGAACGTCAGGGATGGCAGGAGGACAGGCAGGCGAAGCGACTGGTTGATGATTCCTTAATGCAAAAGCCAGCGCTGGAGGAGGTGAGCAATGAATCCAGAGGAGGATGGCTCGGAGACCTGAGCCCAACGAAACAGAGTCAAGGCTTGAAGGAAGAGTGGAGCGCAGACGGGGCGTGGCTGCCACAGTAGGTGACTGAACCAACTGGCGATGAGTAGCAGGTCGCGCTGGCTTCGATAGTTCATTGTGATCGAACGAGGCTCAGGTGCGAGGCGGGCGGCTCCGCCCAAGAGAGAGCCGGTGAACCATCCAAAACACAATCCCCACAGCTGCTCCCACGGACCGCGACAGGCCGGGGTTTCAAGCCATCCGAGCAGGTAGTAAAATGTGACGTCACTCGATGAGTCATGACAGCGTTTAATCAAAACTCCCACCTTAAAAAAAAAACCCGGCAACGAGGGAAATGGCTACAAGAAAACAACGGCGTCCCCGAGTCTGACGAAGGGTCACAGACCAGGCAGCAGGAGTGTCGTTACCTCCACGACCACCGTCGTTTTAGCCTCCGTGTCGCACGCTAATTATGTCTAGCAACACTCGGACGACCTCGCACATCGGGTGGTACTCGACTGTAATGGGAAAACCAGTCGATGCGAATCGAGTCGTGGCGAGTCGACCAGCGTAGGTCCTGATGGGGCTAACGTGAAAATGATCCCAGCAGCTGCTGAGAGAAAAGTCCTGTGAAAACTGCCTTCATCATGTGACTGCTCGATTCAGCACACATGCTTCCTACAAGATGATAGTGTGATAAAACCTAAACGTATTCATGTTTGCATTCATGCTCATCATGATGTCACTGGCCTCGAGTTTCAGCATCACACTTTGGAAATGTGACAGAAGCACATCTGAAAGCTGGTCTCTGGATGAGATCAGTGCAGCTGAAGACAATGAGGCAGAAACGTGTAATGGATGAAGAAGAGATGAGAACATTTCCCAGCAGGTGTTTGTGTGTCTCAGAGGAAACGCCACCTGAGTAAACGAGTGTGTAGATCTGTGCTTAAGTCCCTGCCAGGCTGGCACGCCGTGTCCTCGGGGCTCTGTCGGGTTTGTAAGGCCTCAGGTTAAAAAACGACCAAATCATATTCAGTGTTTCCTACGCTCATGTAACAGACGGGAAAATAAAAACAGAGGATAGGAAACAGAGAACTATAGGAGCTCAGGTACCACATCAGGTAATCTTACTGCATAAAACCTGGAGAGGAAACAGACGCCGAAGCACTTTGTGTCATCGTATCATCCCTCAGTTTGCCTCGACGGCTGATTGTGCTTTGGTGGCTTTTAAAGAAAGGAGGATAATGGAACTGTGTTTTTAATCTTCAGAAGCAGCAAAGACTCCATTAAACCTGCAAAACAACATTTCAGTAGTTGTTTAATTCATGTTTGTTTCTCTGTGTGGCAGAAAAACTGCAGCCACAGTCAATCTTTGTGTGAGATCTCATTGCTGGGGTTCATTTTTCATTGATTGTGCACACGAACGATTCATGCAAATACTCAGTTTGATGTCTTTGTCTTTTCCTCGGAGCTCAAAGCTTTCTGATTCTTCACCAAAGTCATTCACAGGAAAACTGATCCCTGCCTTCCAACCAGCAATGCACAGACCGTTCCTCTTGTCCTGTCGTTGATCCTTCAGTATATGTATGTAGTCTGGTGTCAGGCCGGATCCACGTGGGCCTGACGGGGAAACATAAACAGGTAGATGGAGCCAAATGCTAAAAACGATACGCCAGCCGTTGTTTAGTGACAGCTTTATTAAAAATCCGCTTGTGTAACTTAAAGCACAGATCCGTGTCCACAGGAGACCGAACACGAACGTAAAATCCCACCAAATGCATTTTGTGGATGCATCAGTAATTTAGCTCAGCTGTCCACAGTCTGCTCGTCGATGGTTTTCCTGTGATTGTTGTGTAAACACACACAGGACACACTGTCGGTTTGTTCTCACGTGGACTCTGCAGCCTTGGCTTTGAGCCTCCCAAGGAGAGGATAACAGCAGCGTGACAGATCCAGGACGAGCTGTTCTGTGCTGCTGTGGCGGGGAGTCTCTCAGCATTGTGATGTGGACGAGGTCACGGTCATTCTGTCCTATTACAGGCCTGTCGCTTGTTAATTAAAGAGATGGAAAGGAGAAGAATTACGGAGCGGTGGATGAAAAGCACGTGGACAGATGCGGCATGACGCTGCATGATTGTGTCTGATTCGCTTTAACGGTTAAACGCTGGGGGGAGGGGGGGCTGAGGTTCATAGTTGTAAGAACTGTTAGCAATGGCTGAGAGCAGGACGGCTTTAAATGTCAGTTAAATCAGGTTTGGACTCATTCATATTAATGCAGCGCGGATGTGAAATGTATTAAAAGTTGCGCCCGCAGACAAAGCTCGCCGCGCTGTGCCGACAGGTGCAGAGTTCACGCTTTGTTTTCTCCTGCTGAATATCATCTTCAGCCTGCTCCGTGGCCATTAGAGGCTGTCCGCCTGTCCCCGGCACACCTGTTGTGCTGTATCTGTTCAATGCCATAAACAGACTGTGGACAGCTTATTAAGGCAGCCGGCCATCGTCCTGATTCACCCCCCGTGTCAAAAACAGGAGCTTCTCTCTCACTTCTCAGCACAGCTTTCCGCTCTTGTTCCTGACCTTCCTCCCGTCTCTCTTTTGTCATCAGGCCCAGTAATTGGCCCCTCTCCGGCCTCAAAGCTGTCTCCCTTCACATCCTTCCCGTTGTCTTCTCTTTAATGTCCTGAGGTGTGTTGTTTGGGTCGTGTGTTAGATTTCCTCTGGGAGCAGTACATGTCGCTGTAGCCTGGCTTGACCTCAAAAAGGGGACTAACAAGACGAGACGCGAGTGCTCGGCGCCTGACCCCCACGCTGCAGCCGTGTGAAGGCTTCCAGCACTTTGTCCACGCTGAGCCAACCTGGTACCGCAGGTTGTACCTAAACGTGTAAGCCTGACCCCACGGGGTATATTTAGCACCTGAGGGGAAAGGTGAGGTTTGATCACATTTAAAAGAAGCTTAAATACACATTTTTCAGCTAAACCCTGCTGGAGGGTTTTCTACAGCCATGTCTGTGTAATGTACAAACCCATGTAAGCACTAATTAACCTGCAGAGAAACAGTTAAATTCATCACATGCTTAAATCCCTGATGCTTTCCTTTAAATGCTCCTCGCGTCTGCACGGTCACTCAGGAGGTTTTTGTTTGTTTTGTGGTTTTTATTTTAAAATCAGAATATAAATTAAAAGTAAAATGAAAGATTCAGCAGTGTTAAAAACCTTTTCATTAAACCAGGAAGTTTCATAAATCCTAACCATGGTGTTTAGCTAATAATACACACGTAGCAAAGCCTGCTGTAGCAGTGGATGGTTAACAACCACAAACAGGCAGGTGAACGTCATTAGCCATGTGTTAATCATGTGTGCAATCCATGAATCGGGCCTTCAGGAAGCTGACCTCAAAAGTGGGAGCAGTTAGTGGACTTCAAAATAAAAGCATAACAAGAGTGTGTTCTTCACCTTAGTGAGGCAGATGCTTCCCAGCTCCCTTACACCCGCCACAAAATTAAAAATTAGCTCGCTATCAGGAACGTTAATTTAGCTGCAGATCATTCTACAAAAAGAAACATTATTTTATTACAAACATATAAACTGAATGGCAGCGTTTCTTCATTTCCTTCAAATCTTCTGTAGATATTTTTATGATACCACCGCCCAGCGATAGTCTGAATGTGTGGCGTACCCCTGTGATGTCATCACCTCCAGCACCGTGGTAACCAACAGCTTTGCTCTGCACACTAATACAAACACAGGACCTATGGCCACTTCATTAGGTACTGGGGCGATCGTGGCTCAAGAGTTGGGAGTTCGTCTTGTAATCGGAAGGTTGCCGGTTCGAGCCCCGGCTTGGACAGTCTCGGTCGTTGTGTCCTTGGGCAAGACACTTCACCCGTTGCCTACTGGTGGTGGTCAGAGGGCCCGGTGGCGCCAGTGTCCGGCAGCCTCGCCTCTGTCAGTGCGCCCCAGGGTGGCTGTGGCTACAATGTAGCTGCCATCACCAGTGTGTGAATGTGTGGATGACTGGATGTGTAAAGCGCTTTGGGATCCTTAGGGACTAGTAAAGCGCTATATAAATACAGGCCATTTACCTTGCGGTACCAGGTTGGCTCAGACTGCACAAAGTGCTGGAAGCCTTCAGACGGCTGCTGCACGTCCGTGATGTGAACATGCCAAAGATGCTCAGCTGGGCTGAGATCTGTGAGGCGGTTTGTTATCCTGCTGGATGCATCCATCACAGGATGGTACACTGTGGTCATAATAAACTCCACCCTCTCAATGTTTCTGAGTAGGTAATATTTTCCATCTTCTGTTGCCCAGTTTTCATGGGTCTCTCTGAGTTGTAGCCTCAGTTTCCTGTTCTTAGCACCCAGTCTGGTCTCCTGCTGACCCAGCTTGTCTTCTTCGAGCTTAAACCATGCTCAGAGCTGCCTGTCCATTCACCTCTGACCTTTGACCTCGCCGAGGGGCCGACCTCCGTAAGTGAATGACATACGACCATGACATGGTTGTGCAGTGAAAAGCTGCCACGTCTGAAGTCACTTAAATCAGCTTTCTTGCCCTGATGCAGTTCTGTCAGCTGTACAGGTCCACTGTTCCCACTGGTACCAGTCAGTCATGTCTCTGCAGTCAGAGGCTTCTTTGGCCACAGTGTCAGCATCGGGGTAACAAAACAGTAAAGTTACTCACGAGTAGGGATGGGTACCGGTGTCCGGTGCCATGATGGCACCGGTTCTGACATAAACGGTAGTAACCAGACCGAAAAGCAGCGCACATTTCGGTGCTTTTTTTTCCTGAGCTGTGATACACTTCTAGCCAATCATTTTACGTTTCCCAGGATAGTAGGCGGGGCCAGGTACGTACGTTCAGTTAGAGCAGAGCTACAGATTAAAAATGCCCAAGGCGAAGCGGTCAAAGTCTGGCTGTACTTCACAGCAAAAGATGCAAACTCAGCAGCAACAAGTGCTTTAAGCTGATACTGTGATACTGTCAAAGGAGGTAACACCTCGAATCTGATGAAACACCTGGCGACGCATAGCGTTTTTTTTTTAAAGCCGAAAAATGCGCCGTATTTGATAGCTTGCTGCGAGACCTCACACCGAGCACATCTACTGCGGGTGTGGTGCCTGTTATCAGACCCGGAGTTAGCAACATCCCCAAGAACCCGAAGAGGAGAGTCCTGGCCCCTAGCCCTGCCAGTGTAGCAGTAATGATGAGGATGATGATGCAGCAGCAGCCGTTCTTCTCTGCGTGAGTAGCTTCATGTTGTTCGTGTGTAATTTACGTTGAGTAGGCTAACCACGTTATTACATTAATGCATGTAAGGTGAACAAGCAAACATCATCATAGCTACATGCGGCTGTCTTCTTGTTTGATTGCAGATACTCCCTTCACCCTGGCCAAAAAGGCTAAAATGACCAAAGAAAAAGTGGAAAACAGTTAAACATGAGAGGATTTTGGACAAAGTTTGTGTTCTCCATTCTTTAAGCACCAGCACCGTTTCAAAAGTACCGGTTTGGCACCGGTATCGGATAAAACCTAAATGATACCCATCCCTACTCACGAGTGACAATAGTGTCATCGAACGAAGGATCCGATCAGGTCAGTTTATGAATGATGGTTAAAAACTCAGTCTCTCCTGGTCCTTCTGTCCTGCAGAGCGTGAGCGTTGGGTCAAACGTGGTTAGATACACAATACTCAGCTGTAAGAAAGCACCTCCTCAAAGTGAGTAATGGGACCTGTGAGTGTGCAGTAGCTTAGCATCAAAGCTGCTGAGTGTGTGTGTGTGAGCTTTACTCAGAAAGACTGCTGCCATGTTATTAATAAGGCATAGCTGGGTACAGACAGCTAACAGACTTATCAATATTACAGCTCAATCAGTCAGACACAGGAGAATCATGATTCTATCCAATGAATATTTAATGGCTGTAAGCACGTTTGAACTCTTATTCTTTCAGCTGAAGATGAGACATGAGAACAGGATTTAAACTGCTGTGTTAGGATGGTGCAGGTTAGTCTGCAGAACAGGAAATACTGAGGGAATATTATCCATATTATATTATCCATATTTATGGAAAGACTTCTGCTCACAGAGAGCTTTGAGCCATCCTCCAGGGCCTGTGGACAATCCTCAGAGGAGCTGATTGGTTAGCAGGTGGTGATGTCATAGCTGTTGAACGTAACCTGCTGCAGCACAGGTTAGGGCTGTAATATGAGTTGCTACGGCAACAGGTCATGGTTGGAAGTAAACCGCCTCCAGGATAAAGTTACCTGGAAAAGCCTGGAAAATGCTGCTCTGTAGGATGAGCCTGTGGTGTGGTAGAAGTAGCTGTAGTAGTCGTAGTAGCAGTGCTGCTGTGGTGTGTTGCAGTGATGGCTATGTGACCTTCCCAGTATCTGCTGGTGGGATGCAGCTGTTCTTATGACACCTTCTGTTTTCATAACCTCACGACTGTTTCCTTCCTATTACCTGCAAGTTTCTCTTCTCCCCAGTTCACCCACTGTGTTTGTCTCTCCCCTGTTGCCCTGAAAAGTCTGTGTCTGTTCTGTTGGATCTCCTGTTCCAGTTCATTACCCAACCTCCCTTCACAATGACCCCCGCGTCCTGCCCGAGCCTGTGGCCAGTCTGAGAGCCAGCCACTGCAGTCCAGTCTTTTACTTACTGGACAATGGTAAGAGGAGGGGTGTTTCATGGATCTCAGCCTCTTCGTGGACACCTGCTTGGAATTTCTGTCTTTCTTTCTTTGTTTGTGTCGTTGTTTTGGGAGAGGGAATAATTAGGCTGCTGTGTGATGTTGCACCTGCACGCTAACGCTGCTTCCACACTGTGAGCAACACTATCAGCAGGGCGCCAGACGTTTACTGACTAATGTTGAAGCACAGGTATCAATATAACATATTCAGCCTTTAAATAAAACCTCGTGCTCACTGACCAATGGGGACACAGTAAATTCATAACAACGAATCATATTTCTTTGGCTAGCACAAATGTTGTATATATAATAGAAGCTGTAGACGGTAGTTAAACAGCAGCAGGTGCACAGGTGGAGGAGGCTCCTCCGTCACCTGTGGTGGGTCATGGGTCAGTTCAGCATGAAGCATCTGCAGTCGAGAACTAATAAAACCAAGAAGCAGCATCACTGTGTGAAAAGTGCGGTCGAAGCCTCTCGCAGCACGTGTGAAGCCTGCAGTGCAAACAGGCTTACAGGACTCCAGACTGTGGCTGCTCTTCAGTGTGCTCCATGCTGTGTGTGTGTGTGTGTGTGTGTGTGTGTGTGTGTGTGTGTGTGTGTGTGTGTGTGTGTGTGTGTGTGTGTGTGTGTGGAGGGCGGGTCCAGACCTCGGGTTCTTCATCACCCTGCAATGCTGCTGAGGCAGATGGGCTGCAGCTGCAGCACCGGCGCTTCAGCCTGCCTGACATCAATCATCGCGCCTTCGCCGGAAGCTCACATCTAAACACAAACATGCTCCCGTACCTGGCGATGGCGCTCGGGGTCTCTGTCTGTCTGCGTGTCAGTAAAGCTGCTGTCTTATCTTGCTGTGCTCTTGGCTAACATTCATCACTGCTGTCTCTGACTAACTGCATGGAGCCCTCTCTGATGAATAAGCCCTCAGCTTGCTTTGGATGTTCAGAAGTTAGTTTTTCAGAGGTTTAGTCCTGTGTTAGCCTCGTTTGGGATGTCAGCACTCTGCACATTACTGTAACCTGGACACAACCTGGCTCTTGTCACCTTGATCGGTGACAAGAGCAGCAGGATGGTTAGAGAAGACAGATGAGCACGGGCCTGACGAGCCACAGGAAGTACGATGGACGCTGCAGTTATGTCTCTCAGAGGTATCTGTGTTGTCTCTGTGCTCGCCGTCCGTGTGGACAGATAAGACGTTACCTGCTGAGAGCCGGTGCAGGCGAGAAAAACAGGCTGATAAATATGTAAATGCTGCAAATGCAGCGACCTGCAGGGTCACAACAACAACTCTAAAGATCCACCTGCTGCTGGATAACAAGAAGGCTCCATTCTGCTGTGAATCCTGGAGTAATGAGCAGAGTGCTGAGGTCAGCGATGAGGCTGGTCCGACATCAGTTACTGTCACACGTGTGTTTTAAAACACTGTGTGCACGAGAACAATGCAGAACACACGTGAACGCGTGACATCGCCACTTTCCGTCTCTGTGGTTAAAACCAAAGGTGCTGAATTCCAGTGGGTGCAGTGCATGCTGGTTAATATTCATGTCACAGTGAGAGACCCTTCGGCTCCTCAGATCAGTCCCACCGATTTATTTTGATTAAAATACATTTTATGATGTGTTAATGCAGCCGCTGAGCCATTAAACAGAGGAAGCATCTGTGAGCTACAGGTTCATTATGAGAACATAATTCCTGTCGTTGCATCTCCAACGCTGCACCTTTCGTGCGGTCGCAGCAGCATCTGGTGACTCTGGTTTATTATGAAGAGCGCACAAGCACTCGGCCCTCATCTGTTATCTCATTAGCAGCACTTATTCAAAAGTCCGTCGAGGTTCACGGAAGAAATGCAAACAAATGAATGACCGGAGATTCGGTGAGACCAGTGTTTCCTATCACACGCTCAGCCGCCGCGTCGGCCGTGCAGCAAACATGCTGAATGACATCAAGCAGGTGTTTCGTGCTTTTTTTCCTCGTGGTCATCAGCTGGATCGTGTCTTCTAAATCCCGCCTTCTTCCTGAGGGGAAACTGACACGTGACGCCTCGAGTTCGACCTTTGCAGTTCTCTCCTTACTGCAAAATGCTTGCAAAATGTGTATGTGGTTATTTTGGTTGCCTTCAGTGTCTGACTTAGTTTTTTTATGACACTTTGTGGTGTCACCCTGTTCATTTGTTGCTTCCACGTCAAATCCCAGGCCCACAGAGCGGACTTCATTATTCCAGGTGCAGACTTGAGGAGGAGAGTGATTAAAAACATCAGAATGAGTCTTTACACGTTAAGAGATGCAAAGAGAGCACCTGCTTCAAATGACTAATCACTGAGTAATCGCTCTGTCCACTCGAGACTTCCTGCCGTTGCGCTGACTCAGTATCACTGATCGTGCCGGCCTGGGATGACAGTGGAGCATGCTTTTTGAAAATATGCCTGCAAACATGCAAGTGCACCAGTTTGCATGTTCTTTGTTCATTTGGTTTCTTTTCAGTTTTTCCCCACTTTGGTTTGCCATCGTTTGAAGCAGACTACACCTCCTTTGTTTTCTTCTTCCATGATTTCTTTTTTGTTCTATTTTATTTTGAAGGGATTAACTGGTGCTTTGTTTCCTATTCTTTTGTTTCAGTAAAGGGACCCGGCAGAAAGTTAAGTCTGCCAACAGATCTTAAGACTGATCTTGGTACGGTAGGCGAAAGCCAGCAGTTTTCACTTGATTTCCTTTGAGTTTCTGCTTTTCTCATGGTTTCTAGGCTTTTGTGTTGCATTAGTACTTTTGGATTTCACTCAAACTTTCCTCTTTCAGTTTCCTTGTTGCTCTGTCCGCCTGTTCAACCAGCCCATGAGACTGTCGGCCTAACGTGTTCGTCCATTTTGCCCGTCAGTGTGTTTTGATTTAAAGCGTCTGTGTTTGTTCCTTCTACATTTTGCAAGTGTTTACAAAGGTGATTTGTAGCTCATGCCCATATTTGAACTTGAGGCATTCTATCGCTTTACCATGATTGGACCATCCTCTGATTTATGCAACCTTTCCTCCATTGACAGGCTTTGCTCTGCGGTGCTGGATCACTTGCTACCTCGCTCATTGTAACTGGCCCATTTCTCTCTTAAACAGCCTTCCTTCCATTTTGACTGGACCCACCCCCCACCCCCCATACATCTAACTGCTGCACACACGCAGATCTCAGGTTTCCCTCTGCAGCGCCACGCATGCTGTCGCCTCCCAGAACTTCTGCTTCTCTAACCCCCCCAAACGTGCCTCCTGATTTTTGACTTGCTGTTTGGTAAATGCTCCATCAGCAGGAAGGGTGAGGACAGAAACCCAAACTTTGAATGCAGCACATTTAGTTTTGGTGTCGTCATCGAACATTGAAGAAAACAGTAGAGCTGCAAACGCTGAAGGTTTAAAATCCACAACAATAGAAACCTGTGTGACAGGAAGACGCTCGAGTCTATTGTGTTTGTGCCTTTGTGTGGATGATGTGTGTTTGTGCGCGTGTGATGAGGGGGTGGAGTGGGATGTGCACGTCAGCACAGTGTCGCGCTCTCAGCTGTAAACCAGTTTCCATCAGAACATTTCGAGGCAACGAAATGAACAAAATGTGAAGCCCGATCGCGGCGGCGTCAAACGCTCCGTGTTACCTGCAGTTTTTCAGTCCCCGCGCTGCCTCGTCAGTCCTGCTGTGAAACTGGGTGAGTGTTGCACGTGGACTGGGTGGCACCCTGGAGCTTTTCATCTTCACTTTGAAATTGAATCATTTTTGCAGCGACTGGCTGCACGGCAGAGCTCGCTGGGCGTCGGGGACGAACGATCGGAGAGGAGCGAGCGGGGAACGTTCGAGTGTTTGCACAAATGATCATGATATTGTTTATCTGCTCCACTCGTCTCCATGTATAAGACCTTCCACCAAAACACACATGGAAAGCTTCTGTCCTCCCACGGCAGCGACCACAGCTGCTGTTAATCTGCTGGGGGGGGTCACTGATAAAAAGGGGGCTCATGTACTCAGTGAGGATGAGAGCGTAGTGATATGTAAATAAATACAGGGTCAGTGTGTCCATATACTGATGTTTATTATCGCTGTGATGCCCACCTGTGAGCTCCGCCTTCATTATTTAATCGGCCCTTTGTGTACGTTGGAGAGCTGGAGTGTAACTGTGGCGTCTCTAGAGCTCCTCTGTGGTTTAAAAGTGTGCCGGCTTTCAATAAAATGCACACGAGTCAACACCACGAGAGCGCATGTTCGAGGGTATTGTTTCATTTCCATAGTGAAAAACGGGCCATGCACTAGTGTGGATCGGTACCAGTGCCGGCATATTGGGATCGATCCGGCCACCTCTCGTGCCCGCTCACAAGTATGGCTGAACACAGAACGAGAGAAGGTCAGCCCGGCCTTTCTTTCCTTTGTGTCATTAACAGGGTCTGGCTCCAGCACAGTGCACGGACTCGTCCCCGAGGGGTAAAGAAATCACCGAGTGTGTTGGTATCAGCTCTGTCCGTAGATGAATTTGTAGCCCAGCCAATATAAGCGAGTGCTAATTTGACAGAATAAAGAGCAGAGCTTGTTTTCGTTCTTCACCTGCAGCTTTGGATGTCATAAAGCTTTCTGCTAAAAACAAGGTTTCCCCACAGTTCACTGAGATAAAAGCAACAAAGTGGAGATGAAACGAGCCTGTTTTATGTCACGTCACAGACTCGATGAAGCTGCACTCACAGTTTTACTCTGCATCTTCCTCCTCTGCCCCGGCATCCCCTCCTTGCACATACTTACTTCAAACCACTCTCCAGCCTCTGTCACTCACTCTCCCTTTTTCCCTCACTATCATCTTCCTAGTTGGCAATCAAATTTTCAGCATCAGCTTGCTCCTCTTACGCTGCAGAAATATTCATCTTCATCGGTCATCTAGTGTCAGCCTGCCTTTTTGCAGTCTAGTAGACAAAGCGTCTCCCGGCAGGGAAAAGCAGTTATCTCCTTGGAAAATCTCGTCCCTAATTTGAGGTTCCCTGCCCTGATTTTTATTTCACTTCCCATCAAACTAAATGACTTGTGAAGATGGATAATGCAGCAGTAAATCAGAATATGTTTAAAGTTGAATTACATCCCTCTTTCTGTTGTTTGCTAATGCTTTGCCGTTGTTACAGATCATGTCAATGGACATTGCACTAGCCCCACCTCCCAGCCCTGCTCAGCGGGGAAGCCTCGCATTCCGATGGGTCCCGAGGGGCCACGGCTTACCCGCAGAGGCCCTGGCCGACCGCCCTTCCGCAAGGCCCAGTCCGCTGCTTGCATGGAGATCTCTTTGCCTGTGTCCCACACTGAAGGTGTGTGCTTGTCCTCCCAACTCCCATCCCTAACCCTCTATAACAAACCCCCCTCCCAGCAAGTGCATGCCATCCTCTCACCCCAGGGTAAGTGGAGAAAGGCCTGACACATGGTCAACACAAGGCAAGCACATGCTAATGCAAGTTAGCAGCATGAAATCCAAAATCGGGGTGTGGTTCTGCAGAGAAGATGCTGCAGGGTAAACAGAGCAACACACAGTAAGAAAAACAAACGCACACTTATACAGCTGCACGGTAAAATAACCAGACTGCATCTGCAGGAGCTGACAGTCACGTACCAGGACACCACTGTTGCACTACAGCATGCCAATCGCACTCGTGCAGCTTGCATTAGCATCAGCTTACAACATTCAGACTGCAGGTTCTGCTTCTTCTGAATGCAAGAACGAGTCCTTGCATTGTGTCCTTGACTCTGCTGCTTGTGTCGACGATGTTGCAGGCCTGAAGGTTGGTGATTCAGTGATTTAACCAGTTTTTACTTCTCCTGTGCCTTTCTGTCTTTCTTCCTTCGTTTCTTCCTTTCTTTCTTTCTTTCTTTCTTGCATTTTGTGCTCTGCACCGAAACAGCAGAAGGATCTGATGGTTTTCCTCATCATGCCACAGATTTATGATTATAACTCTATTTGCCTTTCTGTTTTTCTCGTCTCATAAATAACTTCTGGATGTTTTCTGAGATGAAAATGACAGCGCATATTAAACTTCATGTAGCGATGCTACACTTATCGAGTTTTTATGAGCTATGAGCAAAGGGAATGCACACATCTACAAACACGGGTTATAAGTTTGTAGATGTTTGCAATTTCCTCAAACTGAAACCACCAGGACGTTTTTATTTTTACCTCTAATAACTCTTATCATCAGAAGGAGCACAGTTCAAGGAGGACAATAATACAAGAGCACCGCACGAGTTGACATTTTCATTAACAGACATGACATTTATTGTCTTTCCATTTGCGCTCGCTCTTATTCACACCCTCACTTTGATTTGCACCATTTAAAATGCGATGAACCCACAGAGGCTCCGTATTCCCAGTGATCAGTTTAGAAACATGAATGCAAACATATGCTTTTGTTTTTGAGTCTGGCTGTAATACGCTTCTGTGTGGTCATGTGTGTGCGTTTGTGGTTTTACAGCTGTTTTTATATCGTTGTCTGCTAATCTGAGTTAGAATAGGGAAACGGTTCAGTTTTATTTATGTAGCACCAAATCACAACAACAGTCACCTCAAGATGCTCTATGTTGTAATGTAAAGATCCTACAGTAATACAGAGAGAGTCACCAACAATCAGACGGCCCCCCCTCGTGGGGAGGATATACAGCCCTGTGTTTTAAATTTACAGCCCCCCCTGTTCATCCCTCATACCAACTACAAATACACAATTTCATCGACTATTTTTCGGACCATAAGGCGCATTAGGCGAAACAAAACCGTCAGATAAGTCAAACTTTACTCTCCTCATTCTTCTGTGTTTATATTATGCTAACATAGCTGTGTCGCTAGCGATCACGTAGCACATCATTATATAGCAGCTAGCCCAACTTCAGTAACCCTACAAACGTCACTGCTGTTTAGTTTTCTGTCTTCATTTATGTTGGAAGTGACGTTTGAATTCTTTCAGAAATCTCTCAGTCAGAACATGCAATATCATGTTTAGCTAACTAGCGAGCTAACTTCCTGCTAACTTCTAAGTCTGTTAAATTTAATAAATTCTGTTTGCATGGATGTTAAACTTAATTGTTACACCTGGTAAAGCAGCAACGCTGATAATTTTATTAAAGATGAAAGAATTTAGACAGTTTTTAACTCTCAGTGATGCTGCAGTGTTTGTTTGACTTTGGGACCTGAAAATGACAGAGTTTAGGACCCAGATTACTCCGTGAGGCTCCTGACTACAGTAGCTGTAATGCTCCAACAATCCATCACGCGGTGCGGCTTCGTAGCTTACCACAGTCGCACTAAAACATTTTTGACAGATTTGTGAGCGCCGTGTAGCACATAAAATCGGTTCAAGGTCAGTAAGCACGATCAGAATTCATAATTTGAGAAAATTAAAGGATTTTAAGTGCGCCTTATAGTGCGGAAAATACCGTATTAGCTCTAGATAATACAGGAGAATGATAATGGCAAGCTAAAGTGCCTTAAACGTGCATTGACCCTAATGGCCACCAGGGGGCGATACTTCCTAAGCCATTTATGCGTTCAGTCGCTCATTTGGAGACATCCAAGCAAGTCCACTTTGGAATTTTGGACTGAGTCAGGGATATAATCCAGGGCATGCTCATTGGCTGATCTTAGTCCCCCTCCCTCATTAAATCTGATTCCAAAACACCAGGAATGATAAAATGCTCATCTCGATGCCTCGTAATGGGACCCTACAAACCGCTGAATGACATCACAGCTGAGATGCTAATTTTAGTACAGAAGTGCAGAGCCAGTCTTTGTGTTTCTTTTAGTCCATCTTCACTCTGAGACAGATTTTTTTTAGGTGGCCAAAATATTACTGAAATAGAAGCAGAACGTGAGATAACTGGGAAGATGTTTGTGGTGATCGACAGATGCAGACAGAGGTCGCCCCCTGCTGGCTTTGGTGTTACATTTCACTTTCCTCTCAGAACATTTGAACTACGATTGGCTGAACGAGAACTGCTGCTTTAAGACAAACATAAAAGCCTTGATAATTCATTTTTCCTTATCTCCCCAAGACAGCATGACTATCTTAAAGACAAAATGAGAATGAATTTTTGACCTTTGTTGGATAAAGTTTTCCTTTCTTCTTTTACTCATCGCGTGACAAACGAGACGAAGGGAGAAAAACACATAAACGTCCTGTCAAGTGAAGACTTAAACTGCGATCCCAGCAGTATAATTTCGAGTTGCTGACCTCAGAAGTGACAGAGAAATGGCCTCATGCAGGATTAGCAACCACGTAATTACAGATTCTGTGTGAATTGTAACACTTAGTCTGTCACAGCCTGACAGACAACACTAATGCAGGGCGTCCATTTACTTTGAATAAACATAAAAAGTAGATGCAGATCGTTCGTTCTAACAGGACTCTGACTCTGTCCTGTCATATTAAAAGTTTTATGATCTTGCTTCAGTTGGAGAAGAGCAGCAGAAGTATCAGTGGGAGTGTCTGTGAGCTTCTTTGTCTCTGTGGTGATTCACAGGGTCGGGTTATATTCAGAAGGTGTTAAAAATAAACAACAGCAGCCTAAGAGCAGGTTCAGACCGGATGGCCGTCGGCCCCGAGGGTGGAGGAGTCGTCTAATGATGCAGGGTCTGATCTAAAGTGTGGAGCAGATTGCAGCAGCCTGTCACACAGCCCGTGTACATCAGTCACAGTGGGCCCAATCATCGTGTACACCTGATGAATCACTGGCTTTCTAAGTGCTGATGCACCACATAAACTCGTCCCTTGCAGAAAGTACACTCCTGCAAAGCTCCACTCGTGGTCCACTGATGGGTCGTGTTTGCTTAGACGCGGGCGCCGCCAGATTTACAGTCTCAGTCAGGTCACGACAAACTAATCTCTCCATAGGAGGCTCAACATTGTGACAGTTTCCCAAATGTCACAGTTATTGTAGCCAAACTGCACGAAACATTAGCACACCACAGTTTGGCAGATGATCACATTCAGCACACCGGGCTCTGCACGTCCAAAGGCTTCTACGCTGGGATCATCAACAGGCACTCTTAAGAACACGTGTCCGTTACTCCGGAGTACAGCTGACCCTTTTACAGCAATTCTGCAATTAAATTCATGCCGCCATCTTCACCGACCTCATTATACAACAGTGACCTGGAACCGAGAGGGAAGCAGTTTTTCATTAGCATAAGCTGAATGTTTTATTAAAGCCACGGTTGGGGCTCCAGCTGCATCACCAACCACACCGATGCAGATGATTCAAAGCTGCTGTGAAAATATGCATAAGAAACTGTTCAACAGACTTGTTGCGTAATTTTCCATGAAACTGTATACTAGCGTGGGCCCGTGGTGATTAGCATAGCCATGCCGGTTGCCTAGCTGCACCTGACTCGAGCGCAGCCCGATGCATTGAAACATTTTGCCCGGACCTTCTGTTTGCGTCAGGCTTTACTTCAAAATAAAGGCAGAAGCAAAGAAGCCATTCCAAGAGATTTAACACCAAATGGAAAGAAAACGTTGTTATTTTAGCTTTTTAAGTGTGTTAGAATGCTGCCTGAGCATCCACTAACACACCGAGTGTCCTTCTGCCTCTAATGATTTTGCAGCTGTCATGAAAGCGTCCAGAACACGAGGGTGGTTCTGCTGCAGGCCTGTGCACACGCAGGCTGTTGGAGGCGCAGAGCTTTGGGCTTCTCATTGCACTTTGTCATGTTTGTCTTAATGCATCTTATTTTATTTGACCTGGAATAACACAGCCTTCATGTGCTCTAAAGCACATGCTGTTTTTTACAGTGTGGAGACGGCTCCAGCTTTGCTTCTTGTGCTGCCCACTTAGAAAGTCCACTCAGTACACAGGATATTACATAACCTAATATTTGAGTTGCACTCGTGTTTCAGGGACCGTGATTCTGTGAAGTCTTTTAAACATTGTCCCAGGTTTTTAGAACAAAATAGGATACATGATAAATATGGATTTAAACAGAGCTGCAGACTGAAGGAGGACACCACAGTTAGCTTGGATGAGCCATATTCTCTAATTGTTTACACTGACTAACAGGACGCTGCAAGAAGGAGAAGAAGATAATAAAATGGGAAAAGAAGGTCTATACTGGCCTTAATGAGCACATTTTATACCTGAACAGTGGCTTTTCTCAGCACACTTGTTCCCTGTCTATCACCTACCTTTGGCACTGTTGTTTATCACTTGCACTGGGTACCACAGTGAAGAGCCAGCAGGCTCACCAGTATAATTAAAGGTCAACAAGCAGTGCGAGAAATTAGCCCGATGTTAATGAGATCTGCACGCAGGGCAAGGACACAGAGGAGGGAAATGGCAAGGGAAGCAAAGTCGGAGCGCAGTAAACATTTCCATACCTCCCATCTCGGTCGGGCAGCCCACCTTTTAAATATTAAAAATACTTCTGTGTGATGCCACGAGCAGTGCCTGCAGACACACACTGGGCATTGTTTAGGAACAAGTGTTTGCTTCCCCTTTTGTACCTCTGCTGCAGCCCACGCGCAGGCTCACAGGGTCTGCTCACCTACAGAATACAAAAATAACACAGGCAGTAAAATACGGACGTTATTGGATCGCATCGCAAAACTGAGGTGACTCAGCTTTGCACACCAAATTTAATGCTTTCCAACGACAGGCCAGTTTAACAAACAGCTGAATATGCATCATGTTCATTTGTGTTGCAGTCCATAGATAAGAGTCTGCAGGTGTGTGTCCCTCTAACCTGCGTGTGTGCTTGTGCAAACATCACTGCATAAATCAAGCACATTGTCTCTCGACTTCAGATTGCCTGCCTTCCCCTTATCACCTCCCCGACACTGCCTGCCTGCCTCCAGCTCCCTGTGAGGGCCCCCCAGGGGTCCCTGTGTCCTGTCATAGTACCGCTGCGCCTGACTTTCATTAGCCGGCACCCCACAGGCTCTGTCACACAGCGTAAACACACCCCGGCGACTCATTGCGAAACTGAGCGGCTGCCATCCGGACTCACAGCCGAGGAACAGTTTGTGCCGTGTTTGCAGCAGCGTTGTTCAGCTCTGTCGTCAATGCACCACAATTTTAGCACATATTGGTCTTCCTGAAAAAGATCCTTCACATCACCTGTTGTTCCAGTTTAGCATGCAGCTGATTCTCGCTCACACTGCACTTGCTTTGAAACCAGTTTTGCACTTGTGGCAGTTTCAAAGGAAGCTCGATTAAAGTTTTGGTTGTGTGCAACAGGGCTGTGCGGTCGTCCTTCAGTAGAGTGTATTAGGTGCACCTTATCACAGCAGGTGACGAGTAGAAGCCTGCTTCTTTGTCCACCAGCGTTTACTACAGCAGGCGGTGCTAAAAGGGGTCCAGACAGAAACAGGAAGAGAGTCAAAGGTTGTTCGGACAGCAGAAAGTTAGCCGAGCAG